ACACACACACACACACACACACACACACAGAGAGAGTAACCCAACAACCTACTCTACTAATACTGATTCAACATTAGGGCAAATCAGCTCTAGCTTGTCAAAAATACTCAACTGTACTTATACTACTCTGCAAGTTTAAAAAGAGTAAAAGAATCGGATCAAGCCTCTGACCAGAGTCCTCGAGTGAAAGAGCTGGAGACAAAGCGTTAGCGAGAACAAACAAAGCAGCAAATCTGAGAAACCACTTTTATTTTCTGGTTGTCTCACGTCTGTTACGCTCCAACGCACAAACACGAACACAACCCAGAGGAAAGACGTTCACGGAGCTCGTGCTCCCTCTCTGCCCTGTTCTTCTATCACCAGTTCGACTGTGACCTTTCACTTTCACGTCGTCACATCTCGTCTTACTTTGTAGTAAACTGATCGTCTGTGGGTCAGATCTTTTTCTGACACAAGCTTCAAATCGACAAAACTGTAACAGACAGTTTTCACCTAACCCAAGAAAATCATCAGTTTCTTAATTTCTATCTTCATCTCACTGAACCAGTCCAGCTGCTGTTTGTACTTCCTGCTGTTAGGACCGACAACAGTCAACACACAAATCTCCAAACTTCACATATTATTGCTGCACATCCACAGATTATTATTATTATCACCTCCTATCAACTTCTTGAAACTGATCAGCATCGTCAAAATATAATAAACATCCAACTTAATCCACCAGAAACAGAATCAAGTGATTTCTCTGCCTCTGTAACGTCTTTATTAAGAGTTTAACTCTCGTCTGTGTCTGTGGTCTGAGTACTGCCTGGTCCATCAGACTAATTTGTCTAATATGTGGGAAGTCAATAAACCAAACAGGCACTTCACTACTCGTGCACAGTGTGGGCATCAGGACGGACCCAGTGTGACCGGAGCACCCGCTCTGAGCTTCCTCGGGCCCCAGGTGACCTCCGGAGCACAACAGACGGTGGCTGGATGCATAGGTTTGACTTGAGGAATGCTACCTCACCTGGCGCGGCACAGTTTTCAGGCTCGTTATAAGTGCAAACAGTTGAAGGGAGGTGACGGAGGCTGTGGGATGTGTTAGAAGGTAAAAAAAACAAAAAGAAGTGGTGGGGATGTATGCGGCTTCTAGGAGATGATCTCCAGGATGTAGAAGACCAGCTCCATGACCACGGGGCCCTCGCTCAGCTGACACGCCCCGCTGTGGATGACGGGGATCAGAGCGCTGTCCAGGTCGCTCAGGTACTGAGGCAGGAGAGGCTGACCGTTACTTCCTGCCAGGTAACCCACCTGAGAGAACCAAGACAGGTGTTACACAAACACGTGACGAGGCAAAGAAATGAAAGTCCACGTTTCTGACGGATCCATACTTCTGTCCTCGTACCTGATCAGAGTCCAGTGTGACCCTCAGTCCCAGTTTGGCCATGCCGTCCTCCTTCAGCAGCTTCAGGTGCGGACACAGCGCCACGCAGAAAGCTCTCGCCACGTTCTCCGTCAGGCGGCTGTGGTCGGCGGGGTCGCTCAGACCGTTGGGTTGGTCTTCACTCTGGAGGAAGAAGACCTGACACAGACAAACATGACCATGAGGAAGATCTCTGCAGGAAATGAGTCCGTCTTTGGTTCAGAGCTTCATAAAGAGACGTCGTGAAAAAGTTCAGTTTCTATCCACCTAAATGTTTGAAACAGTGAGACCTTGAGTTTCATGACCACTCGGAGTCGTACCTCTGTCCAGCGGATGACTTTGCCATTGGCTTTGAACTCGGAGCCGTGGAAGATCTTGACGCTGGTGATGGACTCCATAGACTTTCCATCAATCGGACTGATCACACTGGAAACACACAGCAACACTCGATAAACATCTGCATTTAACCGTAGGTCAGAAGAAAGAACCCTTAAAAATCACAATAATCACCAAAACGACCTTCTACTACTGTTTTATACTTCAGGTATGTTTTGTTACTAGATCTGTGTTTTATTATATTTGATGGTAACAAGTTACATTCAAATTTGTAGATTTTATCTGGCTGCTGTTAAATTGATTGTGCTGGTCTGAGTCTCAGTCGGAGCCACGTCACACGACATCATTGCAGAGTTTCCTCCAGAGGGATTCCTCTCGCGTGCATAATGAGTTTTTATAGCAGAGAAGTGAATGAGGTGGTTTCACTTCAGTTGTCTGTGACATAAAAGAGTCTCCTCCCGTCCGTCCTCACCCCTTGTTGAAGTTGTGGTCGTCCTCTGTCCACTGGATGTGCACCAGCTCCTGGTTTTCCTCCTGGTCGGCTTTACCGCACGTGATGGTGAAGTCTTTCATGTCTCTCAGGGCTTGCCGCAGAGAGTCCATGGTCTCAGCTGTGATCTGGATCATCACACCGTCTTCAGGTGGAAGAAAAAGACAAATGGTGTCCAAACTAAATGTGTCCACTCATAGTTAATCTTGCACAGAAGGGACAAGAAAACTTCTTTAACCACGAGTTCCATTACTATTATTAATTTGTGCTGACATGGTGGAAAGTCTTTGTAGGTGCTGTGACCGTTTCATACAAATATACTCAGCAAACATTTCAGCATTTTGAAGCCAACAAGTCGTTTGTTGTCACAGGTCTCACCTTCCACAATGCTGGTCTTTGCCAAGAAGCCTGACGAGGCTTTCAAAGCCCCACTGAACACAAAGAAGCAGGCTCCGGTGACTGGAAGAAGAATAAACACAAACAGACAGGAAAAGGAAAAATAATCAACTTCAATTCAACTGCACAAGTCCAACACGGGCAGGACGGACAGAACAAGAGCAATAATATCAGAGTTCCCCACAGAGGAGGGAAACTGTTGTCTAGACAACGAGCAGGAAGTAAAACCCAGACAGTGCAGAGGTGAAGGAAGTGTTAAAGGTGATGAGTGTGTTTCTGCAGCAGCACCTTTGCGCGGCTGGTGATGGATGCTGATCGCCTGCGTCTGATAGTTGCCGTCGTCGTTCTGGACACAAACCAGGTGGGAGTCGGCGCGGTCGTTGAAACACGCCCCCATGGCCAGAACGTGCTCGTTGGACTTGTTCATGGCCTTCATCAGCTGCAAGGACAAATGATATCCATGACTAATTAAGCCGCCCTCTGGGTGTGTGCAGAGAAAAATGGGCTTATGAGAGGCTGCCTGGTTAAGCCTAATTGCGGCGGGTCTTGAGGGCAAAGTCCTCGAGTTAAAGGCGATGGCGTTGAGATGACAGATTGCGGAGTAAGACATTGACACGGGTGGATACCAATAGTTGAAAGACCGCACATTTTAATCCCTCGTCTGTGTGTCTCTTTGACAGCGTCCTCTGCAAGTCAGAAATGAAACTGAAAATCTGGAGCGCTTTAACCACTTGCTGCGCTGAAGGTTTGTCTGCAAGCTGTCGAGAAACGGTCCCTCCTTCACTGGGCCCCCATCTGTTACTGCACGAGCAGCCAAACACTACAACTGGCACCCCCCTCTGCACGCATGGCTCCTTCTCTCTGCCAAACGGCGCTCGGTGTGTGTATCACTCTTGTTGGACATTTCATTCACACCCTTGAGGCTGCAGCGTCAGAAACATTTGGCAGCCTACGCCAAACGTTGAGATGGAGAGACCTCGGAGAGTTTGTCACATATCACCTAATCAGAGTGAACATGCGTGTGTCGATGTTCAATGAGCTAAAAGAACCGTCCTCCACTGTTGTCAATCACCCGTGAAGGGTTTCATTGTGTTATGAAATATTACGCGTCAGCCTGGAAATAAAAGAGCTCGGTTTTCTCCTGAGGTCTTTTTACTGGTGCAACAAACAGCAGCGAGTGGATAAAAGGAAATATCTTGGATTCACTTCCATGTTGACTTTTAACCACAAAGTCACTGACTCCTCCCAAAACATTATGACTTGTTTCTACTTGTTCATCAATAATAATAAAAACATGAGAGCCAGAAAAAAGATTTCATTCATTTCTAGGAAATGTGACGATTTCCTGGTTTTCTCCGTTTAACATCATATTTAATTTAATATATTAGTTCTTAGGAAAATCTAATTCTTTATGCTGCTCTGTTTTCCAATGTGGGTCAGAGGACAGCCACAAAAACAGAATTAACCATCAGTCATTGATACTTCCTGTTTACAGCTTTCGATCCAGAAGAGAGAAGCGCTAAAAGGCAACTTTATAAAACTCATAAATCCTCAGGATGAATGAATCAAACAGTGTGAATGTGATCATAGTTTTGACCAGTGTGTGATGTTGTTAATAGAAATCCCAGTTACTGGACGCTCACCTCATTGTAGCGATTGCTGGGGATCTTGATGCTCGTCTTCCTCACCTCCATGTCCACGACCAGCCCTTTCACCACCGGGAGTGTGTACTGGTAGTTACGGAAGTCCTGAAGGCAGAAAGAAGAAATAAGTGAAATACAAATTAAAGGACCCTGTGTTTTTAGCTGGGTGTTTAATTCAGGTAGAAACTAAAGTAAAACTTGGTAAGTGACAAAATAACGACATGTTGAAAACTGTATTGCAGGAGATGTTATTTTTAAACATATATCAAAGTACTCACTGCGAGCAGGTTCATTATCGTGTGACCGGTCTCTCCGAAGAGAGGTTTTCTGAAGCGAACACTGAACAGCGGACACGGATAAACTGTAGAAACAAATCATTCCTTTATTGATTAACGTAGAACAGAGATGTTTTGTGACTAACGTGTTTTTATTCTTCCCTGTGAATATATTCTTTTATGTCTGAGCCAATTATTATTGTTCATTTCTCTTCTGTGCAGTTGTCATGGAAATGTATCAAACACTGGAGCAGAACGAAGCTGATCTGGAGACAACTTTAGTATTTTGGTTTCAGCCGTGACTATATTAAGTAGCAGAAAAGTGGGCACAGTGCGTGTTATATTTACATATTTGCTTTTATAAATTGTTTTATTGACTTCTTGGATTTCGGTCTTTTTTGTTCTGCATGTGAGATGATTCCAGGATCTTTAATATTTTTAGTAACAGCACAACTATTGTTTTCTGTGTTTTCCCATTGTCATCATTCATAAATGCAAATGAACTGATCTCGAGACCCCACAGACTAACATCAAATACAAAGCACTGCGCCTGCAGTCAGGAGGAACACTCCTAATCCACAAGTGAAAAAATAAGGCAGTTTTTTTCCCTCCAGGGACCAAAGCTCCTTACGACTATTTTTAGTCTTATCTCAGCAAACAGCTGGATATAAGATCTCGCCACAAACTCTGATTAGCAATGAAGACCAATCTCAGCCTGAAACTACACATCACAGAGGATTTGTGTCCTCACAACCTTCTGCTGGTCACTGCAAGTGGTGACAGCGTGGAGAGCTGCACTGCTTGTGTGGTGGGTTCATTTCATGTTAATACTAATATTTGGTGTCTTAGAGCTTCAGCGGAATCTGGCTTTGTTAATTTATTCTATCCGTGCTTGCTGGAAGCAGGCAAGAGGCTTAACGGAGCCAGGCTGCGCTCGGTGCTGGCAGGTCTGGCAGTGAGAGACAGGGATTTGGTGGAGAGGAACCTCTCTGATTAAAAAAAAACACATGCACACAAGATTTCCTGGGCCATGTGGGAAGCTGTGAGAAATAAGTGCTAGCTGGAGGTCGACAGGCTTCTTCTGTCAACTGACAAGGTAAGCTCTCTAGATCAATCTGGATCTTAATATTTTACCATAAGAAAAAGAAAACCAAACCACTGAAGGATAACGACTTTCCTTGCTCTGAATTTAACGCCCTACTTTTCCACCACATGGACCAGAGTCCAAATAAAGTTCCTGGTAAATGTTTTTATGATGTGATATGATTAAAAACTCCAGAAGAGCTTTCTAATGGACTTTAATGTGTGTAGTCAATGCTTTAGAATAACATTCAGTTAAATCATCAAAATATACTTCAACTATTACTGTTGCTTATAGTGTGAACCCCCAACTCACAGCGGTACTCTGCACCCAGCCGCAGCATGAGGCGGATGGGGAAGACCTTGGCCCAGGGCGTCTCCCACTTCTGGATCAGGATGCCGAAGAGGTAAGGCGGGTTTGGTAGTAGGAGGTCCTGCAGTGATTGGAAGGACGGGCTGATGTAGAGGAAGCCGCCATGCTCCTTACTGCCCAGGAAGCTCTGCGTGAAGAAGGAGTGACTCAGGTGGCTCAGCACGTTGCCTTTAGGAGACGAGAAAGAAGAGGAGAGAGAGGTCAGTGATGCTGGAGATATGAGGAGGAGGAGGAGGAGGAGGGGCTGGTGAAATAGGAGAGGCTCAGCAGGGTGGCAATGAGAAGGTGGGCAGAAAAAGAAAAGTGATATAATAGGCACTTGGGGGGACAAAGTAAAACCAGATGTGAATGAGATGAAATAGATAAGATTAAAAATAAAAGGATGAAAGGAGAAAAACGCCAAAGGTAAAAAAAAAACACAAAGGAGAAGCAAAGGAGGAAAAAAATGGAGAGAAAGTGGAGGCAAGGACTTTTAGAATATTCAGTAATATATGGGATTATTGTTTGAATAAAGAGCCTTGGCTTAGTCTGAATTAAACAGCGAGTAAAAACTTACCTGCTCGCCCCTGCAACCTCATGTTACCCACAAAGGGCTCATGTTACTAATAATCCACAGGAGGGATCAGTGGCTTTAGATGGCAGGAAACACAATAACCCTAATGGCGAGACAAAAGTCGGTGGCTGGGACTTGCTGAAGCCAGCACTTCTTCTGCAGTCCTGACTGATGGAGACATAATCAGGACTGACACGCACAATATGGCTCCTTTCCACCGGCCTTAAACTGCTCCAGTTTGAATATGAATGGAGAAACTGCCTGAGGGGAGCGAGCCGTCAAAGTCACCCGATATTAGCCCTATTTGCTCTGCGGCATATGGAGTCAAAAATGCAAGGCAAGCGGTGATGAGGGAGGCGACCTGACAGCAGGACGCTAATGTTTGGGCCATTTTTCACTTCAGCAGAGGTGGACAGTAACCTGGTTTCTAAATAGAGGACAACTGGGTTCACCTGTTGTCTCCGAGGAACAAAAAGTAGAGCTGGAACATTTTCCTCCGAGCATCAGGCTCATTTTTAACTGGACAGCACTTGACTGAGACAGGTGGACTCACACCTGGACCTGGAGACACAACTATCAATGAGCTGCTGTCTGCTGGGTGTGTTCTTACCACTGAGGGCCTCCTGGTAGAGGTGCACGAAGTGCGTGAAGACGTCTTTAGGGATGGTCTTCTCATCAGGGAGACACTGGAGCAGAATGACCACCTCCGCCTGGCCGACAGCGTGCATGCCTTTGGTCGTCACATACCAACACTTCCGGTTTACGTCTGTGTGTTGAGAGGGAAGAGTTTTTCATATCACTTAACATTTCAATCTTTGAAAGAAATCTTTTCTGTTATGGTCCCATCACGTCTGAATAAAGCTGTAAACACATTTATGTAACGGACTCCTACGTCTCAGTGTCAAAAGTCCATCACTTAAGTAGCTTGATGTTATTTTGAATCCAGCAATAGCGTGAAATCTATGTCTCAACATTCTACAGGCAGAAAAAACAATTCTTAAACTTTAGTTATGTTCGGCATCATAAAAACTGTTCAACTTACAAATGTATTTTTCACTTTTATAACTGTAACTCACAGTTTACAAGCTTGACCATGGCGAGCAGGTTCGCATTGAGCACAAAGACCAGAGGGTCGGGGCCTCCCTCCTCCAGCTGCTGCATGAGGACGATCTCCGACGGCCTCTCCTCCACTGCGTAGTCTGTAGGTGGGTTAAGGTGGGTTAAAGAAGAGGAGATGGGTGGAGGGCGGGAGGGAGGAGTTGAGGTTCAGTTAGATAAACACACAGGAGGAATGGAGGATGAGAAAGAGCGGAGAGATGTCAGAGGGAGAATGGAAGAGGTGAAATGGAGAAGCAGTTGAATGTGAGGTAGGAGAGGGAAATTACTGAGTTAACAACAGCGAGAGGCCCCAAACATCATCACAACAAACCCTCCCCTGTCTCTTGTTGGCAATGAGCGGCCGTAACATGAGCGGTGACGTAAAGCACATGAGAAACACGCTCAATCAGCACAACAGAAGCAGCAATGACGTGGCAGCAGAATGGTGAGGATGAGGGCAAGCACCTGTGATGTGGCCTCCCGTACCTCCTTTGACTCCAGTGGAGATGAGGATGGGAGGGAGCCCGTCCTCTGGAATCAGACTGATGGAGCTGCCCACGGGGCTGCCCACCGGGGCAACAGGGGTATGGGCTGCCTGAGGACGGAGGGTGCAGGGTTAGATGTACTGTAGATTTTAACACACAATAGTAAAGTGAAAGAATCCAGGGGAGATCCCAATATTAGGCAGTTTTAGATTTCTGTAGTAAGACCCTTGATGTCTTGTCAACTGCTTTTAAACTTTACACAGCCAGATTGTTATGCTTTCTATTATGAATGTCCAAGAGCAAAATGTGATTACGTCAGTAATGTCGGCTGAATCTTTTTTGATAAAGATCCTCCACAGTCAGGCATCATAAAAACTGTTCTCACAGGCTGAGTTGACCTCACTGCAGTTATTCAATTGATTTTAACATGTGAATTAACTGAGTACCTCATACATTTAAGTAAAAAGGTGATAAACCATGAAAACAACTAGAAAAAGCACAGCAGGAGCTCCTGTAAATCAATGGCTCATCACTTTTCTACTCCCACTGGTGAACTACAGGTCGCATTACAGTAATGGAAACCGTTGGCAGTATATTCAAATCCATACATTATGGAGATCGTGTCAGTATGACCTTCACGAAGTCACGTGGTGAAAGTCGGATTTCATACTCATGTTGTGTCTCCATAGCATCAGCTGGAAATCTCAGATAAAGCCATTTACAAGCTCCAACAATCTGTTCAACAGGCCATGAATCATCCTGACAGTTTGCATTCAAGTCCACAGAGCGTTGAGCACAACCACAGAAACAACCAAACACAACTTGTTGCCCTGATAAATGCTGGCTCTAACGTCGACTTTAAGTGAATCTAGCACATGCAGGGATTTCAAATTATTCCAAGCAGGAATGTTTTTTACTAAAATCCATGACCCAGCCAGTAAACCACCAAGAATCCCACAGAAAGAGTTCTTTGTGGCTTCCTCCAGCTAATATAACCATACACACGCTAGACTAATAGCATTAGCAGAGGGTGAATACTTGTCGTGCCTACCTCTGAGGAATCAGAAGTCGAGGATTTGCTTGAGCCCGTGGAGATGGCTAGCGACTGGGAGGGGGCTGGGCTGGAGGTCGGAGGTTTGGGGGACTCTGCTGCGTCTCCGTTAGGAAGGACTCCATCTGCGAACCACACCCTCCTCTGCTCACGTGAGAGGGACCCTGAACACAAGACACATATTTACGTTTCAGTGAAACACATTCTGACATATGAAAACTGCAAACTGTTCTCAGGACAAAATGAAGTTACCACTTTAAAGAAGTGGGCACAGACTGTCAACATGTTAGGTGAAGCGCTCAGAGTATTTGTATGCCGGGTAAAGGTCGTACCCTCGTTGCCAGACTGTTTCAGGACTCCCACAGGCACCATGACGGTGGGAGGAGGGGAGCTGAGGACCCCAGAGGCCTGAGCCTGCTGCAGAGGGGGGATGGTGGAGCAGTACTCGGCCGGGTTGTTGGGGTTCGGACTCTGGTTGTTTCCAGTGTTCGGTGTCTCCCATGATTGAGCTGGCAGACAGAACATGTCATGACTAAGCCTGGAGCCGTGTATGTGTATGTGAGTAAAGTCATGTTCAAAGTCTTTAAGTCTAATAAGTATGAATGAATAAATAAATGAAGTGACATCCTTACTTGTATTGACATATATGTATACAAAGGGTACACATGAACTTGCACTCACCACTGGTCAGAGCAGAATGACAGGTGATACAGACGCGGGCCTCCTTCCTGTCCATGTACAGGAGCCTGCACTTCAGACTGCAGCATGCTGCACAGAACACCTTCAAAATAACAAGAACACACTCACATCATTTGTGGCACACTTCTGCAAGAGATGAGCACACGGGACGAAGCTGGGTGACATGTTCTCCAAACCAGATCACATTTACTGTGATGATTTTAAAAAAGGAGAATTGAAAAGAAGTTCTGAGCAAATGTGCAGCGAATGTATGAATTCATGGGTATTGACTTCCTGTACTTATCCAGAACTTCCCTGAGCTGTTCACTACACTTTCCGTGGATTAGAACCTAATTACACAGTATCCAGTATATTTAGTAAATAATAAGACTGAGCATAATTTCCATTTCAGAGCTTCAGAGCCTCATCATAAGCTGGTTTGTGGAGTTCCAGTGTGCCGGTGGATGCACTGATCCCGCTGTGTCTATTGTTTTTGTGGCCCCAGTGCTGGTGTCAGTGTTACTGCAGTGCCAGCTCCTCCCTGCTCAAGCGGCAGAGTGTGTTGTTTGTTTACCACCAAGGGAAATTAAGTAGCAGACCGGCAATTTTCCAGTGCAGTGTCAGCGACCACATCTTCACTTTAAAGCGCTGTGCAGACCCCCCCCCCCCGCATATGTGGGTGGCCGTGATGCCAGAAATGTACCTGAACACCCACTGAGTTTATCTGCAAAGAAAGGAACTCCTCTATGAAAGCATTGCTTTTAAATTCCCTCATTACTCCAGGGAACCAAACCAAGCTTCTTTATTGAAATCTAAATATTCATGTCTAAAATTTGCAGTGTATTTTCTCCTCGTACATTTTGCCTCTCCTCTCGGTTTCCTTTATATAGTGACGTGTATTTTGTCTGACTGTCAGGGAAGACTGCACCAATGGCCCATAACATCGATGATTCCAGATAACTGCCCGGGTCAGATTGCATGTGCAAAAGAGCAACGCAGTATGAAGGCATCCGCTGAATATTTAACTCAAAAACACTGTGTATGTGCAGCAGTAGTTTAACACTATATGAAACTGGGAGCGTTCTTTTCTGCTGAAGTGTTGTAACGTAAGTTCTTGGTTTTCCCTGAACTTGTGCTGACAGGGTAACATTAGTTGGCATCGTCGGCCCCACCAGAGAGGTAGCAGGTGTCGACAGCAATCGAGATAATCGATTTTTCAGTCCGTTTTCTTTTTTTCTTTTCTTTTTTCATGCATCTTACTCTAAATATGATAAATCTTCTGGTATATCAATCTGTGCAGGCAACTGTACAGAAAGTGCAAGTCTGGCTTTTTCTGATGCATCTCTCCCCAGATGACTTTGCGGCAACAAGGTGTTTATTTTATTCTGAAGGGCCCAAATACAAACCTGTTTAAGTTTTAGACAGTATATTATAAACACCTCTTTATTGTGATTTTTAAATTATCATCCTAATGTATTTATTGATTGGATTTCCTGTTGTTCTGTACAAATTAACATATTGAACTCATAATTGATAAAGAAACAGCACATTGCTTCACAAACATCAAATGTAGCCCAGACAGGTGTATCGATATAATCCTGGTTTTAAAGTGTGTTACAGGCTTTTTTAGTTAGAATTTTCCCTTTAAAGCAGCTCTAGCGCTCCTCTGACCTTGCCACAGGCTCTGCAGTGGTGCCTCCTCTTGGTGAAGGTGAACTTGACATCACATTTCATGCAGACCGGAGCCTGGGAGTCGGGCACCCACACAGGGGCAACCTCACCCAGGGAGCTGGCAGGTTTCTTGCACAGGGCACCCTGCTGTCCTGCCTGGAGGTCATTGTCTGGGCTCTCGGAAGGCCTCGGGGCAGGAGAGTGGACACCACCATCTCCGTTCACCCCGACTGTGGTCTGATCAGTCCCACTGAGAGTTGTTTCAGATGGCGTGCTTCTCCGACACTGGTTCTCAAGGTTCTTGTTCTTGCTGACGAGCTGGTTTTGGACCTGGCCGGACAGCGGCTGAGGAATCTGGAGTTTGAGGGTGACTGGCTGCTTCGGTCGTGCCCCCCCGTAGGGAACACTGACGGGCTGCAGCCGATTGTTGAGTTTTGGTTGGATGCTACCCAACCCCAGCGCTCCTCCATCGCTGCTCTCCTGCTTGCTCTCCTCCATTTCTTTCTCCTCGGTCACAGAGTCCTCCTTAGAGGGAACAGGAGAGGGAGAAAAACCCTCCTCCTCCTCTTTCCCGTCTGTCAGCTTAGTGTAATTACTCCTCTCCTGCTCCGAACCATTGGGAAGGCTTGTTATTCTGAGGAGCTGGTCGATCTGTCCCTCTGGACCACATCTCCTCTCCACTCCAACCCTGTTCGGAGAAGATGCACCATTCTGCTCTGCCTCAGAACCAGACTGAACACCTCTCTCCCCATTCAGGAGGCTTTCTCTCTGTTCCTTGTTTGAGTTTGCAGTTTGTCTTTCTTGACTATCGTCCTGTGAAACAGCTGTACTGGCCTTTTTTGTGACACTTTCGCTTATTTGTGTTGTTGCTTCCACATCTGGATGAATTTTCTCAGAAGGAGTCTCTTCCTGTCCTTGTCCCAGCTCAAAGGTAAAGTTAGTGTGACTGACAGTGGAGCTTCCCCCTCCAGCTGAGGTAGCTCTCTCCTCCTGATGAGGTGTAACCGCCTGGTCAGAAGCAGCCGACTCGTAACCTGGAGAAGAACTTCTCTCCTTGCTCAGCCCATCATGTTGCGGGCTTGCAGCGCAACCATTCTCTACTGCACTACATGCCGTCACAGGGGGCGGCGACAGGTCGTCGGTTCCAACCAGTTTGCCGATGTTGGGCTGGGGGTGCGGTGGGCTGTGGACGTCTGCCGGCCTCTCCTCTCCCCAGGATGAAAGTTCAGGACCAGGGTGTCTTTTAGGGTCTGCCCCCGGGGAGGTGCTGGAGGAGGAGTCGGGGAGAGTCTTGAAGGGCAGCGGACTTTCCCGGGGGCTGAGGTCTGCGTGGGCCAGGGCGGGGTTCAGAGAGAGCAGGTGGGCCGGCGGGGCCAGGATCTGGGTCCACTTGGCATCAGAGAGAATAGGTGTGTCAGTTTCATCTGGCAGACACAGAAGAGAGGAAGACAATTAGATCTAGTTAGTGCTGCAACCAACAGACTGCAAGTAATGTCTGCATAAAGTTTTTAATCTATGAAATGTGACCAAAACCCCAATTTCATCTGAAGAGCTGGAATGAGATGATGCTCACAAAATGATCAACAACAATCGATGATGAAAATACTTGAAATTGTTATTTTTCTGTCAACTAGTTCAACAAATACACAATTGTTCAACTACATTCACTGCACTTTGCTTTTGATCTATGTCGTGACGCTTATTTTCTGGACAGCACGAAGGTTTCATATCACATTTAAAATGAAACAGAAGACAGGAGAAAGTGTCTCATGCTCCTCAACAGCAAGACAGGAAATCTCAAATGAACCGGCACCGAGAGCTGATACAAAGATACACACTCCCAGGTGATTGAAGGAGCTAAAAATGGCAGAACAAACCAGGGAACAAATTGAGAAATGAGGTTGGCATGGAGTGAGAAATTAGTGTGTGGATGGACTGGGAAAAAAAGTGGGCCAAGTGGCTCCGTCACCCCCGGGAGCCATCAGTCAAACTGACACATCACAGCTGTGTAATACAAATGGAAATTCTTAGATAATATTTATTCGAACCAACTTTCTCACACAGCCGTGTCAGCGACTCTACAGAACTCGCCTCCCTCCACTGGAATTCATGCTAAGCTGTTTTATCATGTGCTGTTCTCAGTTCAACGTTAATCTGCCAAGCTGGAGCTCCAGCAATGGACCCACAGATAATCACTCAGCCAAAATACAAACTGAGATCACAGTATTGTCAAAATACAGCACTGTGCAAGTGTGTGTGTGTGTGTGTGTGTGTGTGTGTGTGTGTGTCTGTGTGTGTGTGTGTGCGCATCAGCAGGACTTTTTCTGGGGTAATTTACAATAAATCAAGAAAAAGAACAGCCTTTGTAATAATCTAATAATTCATACTGGAGCACTGGGAGTCTGCAGACACACAGCTCTGTGATGCAGTGTTTACTTGACATTTACTATAAATAAACTCAGTGGAAGCACAGTTTCAAATCGGCTCTGGAACAATTTCTTTACCTATGGTGGAAAATAACTATGAAACATTTTGCCTTGGACAAATGACACAGTTTAAGAAAACCTCAACGGAAATGGAAAATTCAATTAGTGCTATTCCCTCTCTGCACACCCTCAATCACCACCGGTAAATGTTTCTGGTTGATTGTTGTCTGTTGATGATTTACCCATGGGTTATGTTAGGACATCCTTACCACCGCTCCTCTGAAGGTACGCCTCTGCTCAAGCACAGGGACTCACTCTTTGTCCCCATCTCGTCTCTGCACTTAATCAAGCTAACGCGGCGGCTCACCTTCGTTCTGCTCAAACTCGTCCAGGACCTTGTCAAGGTTGAAGGCCTCGGCCTGGAAGTAATTCTCCATGGGTCAGGAAGCTCCACCCTGCCGACAGCCGTGTGAACCTGGAGGCCAGAAGAGAGCATGTCCTCAATACCAAGGCAGACGTCTCCAAAGTCCTGAGACATATCTCCTTATTCATACATTTTTACTATACTCACTTAAATGTGAGTAGAAATATCTTGTCTAACTCTGACACTCATTTCATTTCCTTTGTTATCACTCAGGAGTCACAGAGATAATAAATGTGAGATTTGTTTGAAAAGTATTTTAATTAGAAAGGTTCCTGACTGAATCAACTCATCTGTTCTCAGACATGAAAGAAAATTTGGCTTCTTTTCCATTCTCCTTCCTTCCTCTTGTCAGCGCTCACCTGCACACAGGTCCAGCAGTCCCAGGCCGTGTTTCTCTCTCAGCAGGTTTCCCTCTCAGCTGTCACTTCACCCAGTCTGGCAAGCGCCCAGCGCCCACACCTTAGGCAGAGAGGGAAAACAGCATTCAGTGAAGAGCTGCTTCTCAACCTGTGCAGCAAAGCAAGCTGCCTGTTACACTAGCTTCATAGAAATGTAAAGCTGAATCGTTATTTTTGAGTTGGATATAAAACTACAACAATAAAAACTAGAATTATGCTTTGTGGTTGTACGCCTCCACCAAACAGTCAAGTTGCAGGAAACATGGTCACAATCTTTCCCTCTGTTCCCAAGTTGGTATTGTTGGTATTGAATTATGAGCGTTTTGCAGAACAAAATGATTTCATGGTGAAGTTGACCTTTGCCCTCTTGGTCATTTCTTTCCTATGAAACATTTAAGTGATATTTTTGTCATAATTACCATGTGACTGAAACATATTTTCCAAAAATGCCACATTCAAAACAACGTTCAATTAAATTTCCTTCAGGCGTTCCTGAGATATTGCAGTCGCCAACAACACGAGCTTGATCTTTGAACAACAAAACGTGTGTCAAAGTTATGACACATGGTTGTGTTGAAATGTGGAAAGAATCACAGACAGCTCCACCCATCATGCTGATGATGAACCAGAACAACATCTTACATCAGACCAGGACACAGTTCATGAACAACACCCTGAATCAGCTGATAATACAGTTCAGCACCCATCTCAGGAGGCAGTCTGAGGGTGACGCTCATCATCACGCAGTGAAGTATTATCCACACGAGCTCGACGAGGTCATCGGAATCACTGCAGTGTAAACCTTCCCAGAGTGTCCTTGCTGATGAGGAGACCTTGGAGCGAGGATGGGATGTGGTGGAGCGTGAGGTGTGTGTGTGTGTGTGTGTGTGCAGGGGTGCAAATGAGTAACACCCACACTGGACTTCAGGGTCATTCTCATAAGGACAAGAGTGACCAGGGATTACACCAGGGACCAAATATTCCGCAGAGCGAGGGCCTCTGAGAAAGGAACGGAGTCAACACATTTTCCACTTAGCTTGAGACGCACGTATGGACACCTAGTCAGCACAAAACAGAGATGGCACACGACAGGAGGCTACGTGTGTCGTGTGTATCACGCTCTGTGAGGTTAAACCGTTACATCCACACAGAGATGGAGGCAGAAGGAGAACGCTGCCATCAGAGCCAAATATTTCACAGACTACAAAAATCTGTGAATGAAAGAGTGAATGAAACAAATCATTAGTACTTTAAAACATTACAAACCCATGGGCAATCACAAACCAAATGGAGAGCGATGAGTCGAAGATATTCCGTTTTAGATTCTGACACTGTTCAGAACTAAAAAAGTACTGAGCTCTACTCTGCATACACCAGCTGCATTGCTTTAAACCACATTTGTACTCCTGACTACTGGATTTCGTTTGTATTCACTAACTATTACTACTTCTGTGAAAAGTAAATCCATGAACCTTAGAGTTCAGTGGATTCAGTAAGTGAGCTCGTCTTCCTCTCCCAGAGCATGAAAACAACCAGATGTTTGTAAAATTGAAATAAAATAGTATAAATGCATAAATACTGTAAGAACTAATTTAGGAGGAAAAAAAGACTTCAATCACCTGAAGTGGTCAGTGAATGGAAACTACATCTGAACAATGCAGTTTAACCTCATCCAACTTCTGCACCTTTTTCTTCAGCCGAGTAAGTTTCCACTTACACTGAATGAAGAGGGTCTTGCAGCGTATGAGTCAGTGAAGCTCCAGTAGACTGTGTGTACTCATGAATGCACACAAACACATGTGAACAAACACACACACACACAGGACAGGAGCCCATCCCTGATTAAGATTTAATTACTCTGCAGAGGCTCTGAATAATGCATCTTTAGTCAAAGTGCGTGAAGGAGTAGAGTTGTATTTTTAGACATGTAAACTTGGAAAGAGGCTTTAGAGGAGACATATGTGCATGAAAGAGTGCGTCAGTGTCTGTATCGTGGTGAAATAAATTGTCCTTTAAGCTACACGGTGTTTAAACATCTCACTCATACACATGAGCATCAACTCATCAACACAACTAAAGACTAATTAAAAATGTCAAGCAGCGACATGTAGTGTTGTTTCAAGTAGAACAAGAAAATCAAGACTGTGCAGTTCTTTCAAAACAAAGATTCACGTCATGAAGTTTCATCCAACACAATATATTTCAAGTAAACATCACAGTCAATACAGCTTCTTACTGTGAAGTTGTGTTTTCATTGATATTTGTCTGTTTGTTAGTCAGCAGGATTACACAAGTACGGAACTGATTTCCATTAAATCCTGTAGAAGGGGGGGGGCAGCTCATATATTTTGGAGCAGATCCAGATAAAGGGCGTTAGCTTGGCAGAGGTAGCAGCTCTCGAAGAGTCCTTCTAATTTCTTTCTTTCTTTCTTTCTTACTTATTTTGTTTGTCAGCAGGATGACACAAAAACTACGACACCAATTTCCACCAAACTTGGTGGAAGGATAAACCTGCTCTTGAGAAGAACCCTTCAAATGTTGTTTTTTTCCTTCCTCTTTCATTCACTATATTTTATGAAAACAGAATAATTCAGGTTATGAGAGCAATTCCAGTTTTATTTTATATTTGTACGATAAGAAGAACCAGACAATCATGTGTCGGATCGTTCAGTCTAAGGAGAGGTATGAGCTCTGACTCCCCAAAAAACACACAGCTCTCCTCATGTGTCATCAGATGTTTTGTACTAATGGCTCCAAACCACTCATGATTAATATTTTAAATGTTTTAAACTAATAAACTCAGCCCCATAACTTCCACACTGCCTGTAGTATCACTGTATCGTCCAAGGATGCAGCTAAATAATAACTTTATTAGACAATCTGTTGATTTCTTTGTCGATTCGTTAATTGTTCAGTCAATAAAATGCCAGAGAATAATCCAAATAAATGTCCTCGAGGGGACGTCAGACACAGAATCGCAGTAAAACCTATAACTTTGAAAGAAGCCGCAGCCAGAGAAAGTTTGGGATTTTTACTCAACGAATCAACTGAACGGTTAATCAAGTTTCACAGCTCATCAATTTACTAATCATGTCTGCTATAACAACATTGCTTGTGGAAGTTTTGCTTAGATTAACATCAATGCACAGAGACAGCGTGTGACCAATCTAATTTCCATGTAAAAAAACATTGAATGAAACATGACTGAGAAGAAAACAAGAGCCTCCCTTTTTAAATGAAGCAAACTCGTCCAGCCTCCAGTGTGAGCCCGACATGCTAATAATGAAATGGCCTTACAGACTGCTAACACAATAAAGCATGCCTGAGTGGACGTCCCGACACGGCAGCATAATTAAATAAGACAAGCGCATAAACAGTGAGGAAGCTGGATGTACTAGAAAGCTGAAACAGTTCGTTAAGTCCTCGCTGTCAGAACGACACTCCGCTTCCTGTTGTTGTTTCCTGTGAGGGAGCCGCACTCACTTCCGAGCCAATCAGCTGGAAATCCCATCCAGTCATTAGTGAAGTTTGACATTTGTTTTTTGCGTTACGTAACATTTCTATGTAAATTTGCATCTGGTTTAGTTAAATAATATTTTCCTCCTTCCAGAAGATTGTGACGTTCACTTCCTGCAGGAGAAAGATGATCTCCCAGGTAATAGGCTGTTTTCACAGCATACATCCTGACATGTGACAACAAGAAAATGATCAATGTTAGGCTATTATTATGACTATTACTTTTCTTATGTGACGTTATAATGGCCTGACAGCATTTCATTGAACCAGAGCTGCAACAATCACTCGGTTAATCAAATGACACATGATAAATCTGCAGCTATTTTAATCAACAGATCATCATTTTGCTGATTCCAGGTTCTCAGACATCAGGATTTGAGGTTCTTCTTGTGATTTATCAGAGGAAACGCTCCTCATTGGGTTTCAGTCTGTGTGTCACACAAAACAAGACATTTGAAGACTTTGCCTGTATTCTAAAAGGCAGTTCTAACTATTTTCTGACATTTTACAGACAAAATGATCAGTCGTGACCTGCGAACCTAATCAAGAGATCAATGGTTGGTGAAAATAAACCACCTGATCTGCCAGAGTGTGTCATGAAAACAACACAAAAATAAATCGCCAAATATGAAGCTAAATACAAGAAGCTGTAAGAGTATAACGTCTGTGTTTTATATGTTTAAATTCTGACACAGACTAGATTTCTTCTTCTAATTAAGAATAAATGTCCTGCATAAATGTTCCAAAGTGCTCAGACCTGAACTCGGCTCCTAAACTATTTAGGAGAGCTGAAGAGGTTCCCCGTCACCAGCTGATGCCTGCATCACGCAGACAGGGACAGGGACCTCCACCTACCAACGAGACGAGATGTTTGTCGAGCGGGAACCTGAGTTAATGGAGCGGTTCCTGCTTCATAAATGACTGAGACTATTATTCAAAGCTCGGGGGGGAAAAGGAAAATGGTCTTATGACTCAAAACAACATAAATTTGAAAGGAACTGAAAATCTAACCTTCTTCACCATATTTAGGATTAAAAACGTGTGATTATAAACTCATTTTCCTGTGCTTTCAGATATCGAAGCATACGGTACGTTATGATGAATGATGAGAAGGAGGCTTTCGGGGGAATAATCATGACAAGCTGTGTATTAAATCATGATGAATGGTGAGATGAAGCCCTGACGCATAACGTCTGCAGCCCTGCTATTGGCTGATTTGCGGAGGGAGGGAATTTGGGATGACATCACCATAAATCATTTGTGTCGTTTAAGTCTGCACTTGAGACTGATTCTTACGCTGAACTGAAAGTTTTAGCCGAGGGTTTTATTAAAAGTGCCTCGCTCCTTCTTTTTGCTAAGAATTGTTTCATTAAAGTTTTATACGCAGTGACTTCAGCAAGGAGGAAATGAAAAGACTCAGCAATATGCTCCTCTCAGTGTGTTGAGCTGCACAACAGCAAGACAGTTCTGCAAAAACAATGATTTTATCATTATCAAGTAAACTGCTGATTATTTGTTTATTTAATTTTGATAATCAATTGATCATTTCTGTCTTTTTTTAAAGAAAAATCACCAGATATTTAGAAAGAATATTCTACTTTTATATTGAGTATATTATAGTTTTGAACTACATCTGCAACTTAGAAAAATGATTGATCGCTCTCTGGACCAATTTTTCAAGAAAATGGGCCAAATATTCCTCCTCAAAAGTTACGATTTGATGCTTTATCAAACGTGACAGTTAATTAAAAATCTGAAACAAGCATTCGCTCACTTTTTCCTGCTGAATTCTCACTCTGCAAATGGCTTGGACCATTTCTTTCTTTCTCTTGTACAGTCCCTCAGGAAATTTTGTGGACTTCAGTGAATGTCTGAAAACAGCTTAATTGTTTTGTAAAAAATTCGAACAAGTCACTTTGGACTTTAAGAGATTTTAAAGGGAATTTTTCACAACTTGCTGACATTTTATAGATAACCTGGGAGTGGAAGAAAAGCTGTGGAACTTTTGAATTGTGAATTCAAGGTGCAAGGTTCAAGGTGCCAAGTTCGTCTACTTTTCCTTTCTTTTTTTTTTTTTCGTGGAGCAGCAAACTTCCCACGACTGTGAGCTCACATCCTGAAGAACAGCGTTTTAAGATCCATACTCCAGACGCCGTCTGCACAGGGTGACTGCAGGAAACCTCAAATGATCACTTCCTCCCTTTAAGAATGGACTGACATCACTTTCTAACAACATGGTCGCATGACTGAGTGACACATCTTTGTGTCACGTCTACCGCCCTGACTGGGAGTTCACCTCCCTTCTCCCGTAAGTATTTATCCTCTATTTTTTCATTACAATTCCCAAGTTCTGCTTCAGAAAAAAAGACAAGGAAGCAAAACATATGAAAGAAAAACGCAGGTTAGTATCCAAGAGAAGGTCACACATGCACTTCCTCTGAAATACTGAAAGAGATCATTTCTTTGACAGAAGAGGTTGGAAAGGTAAATCCACTGAGATGTGTTTGAAGAAGGTAAAGAACAGAGGAGCTGTCGTCGTGTTACAAAGAGCTGCTCTGCTTCACAGCAAGTGTCAAAAGCTGTTATGAGTTTCCTTTCTCCCGCATGTTTTGATCTACATTTAACCACCACAAGACAGAGAAAGAGACACAGCGCCGGGCTGCCGTCAGGGACAGACTCGTAATACTTCCTGAAAGCGTACAGTAACCTACATCTGGGGAGTCTCTGCACACACGAGAGCTTGTCTTTGCACGGCCGCCTGTTGGATCAGTCTACTCAGTCAACCCCCCCGTGGGTTTCAATACGGTTTAATGAAGGAGAGAGGTATCATTTTCTCTTGCTGCAGGTAAAACCCTTCTCAAATGTCCTGTCTGCATTTCACATCCAACACAAGCCAGTCCAGACTGGAGGGACGCCAAAATGAGACCAGACAAGAAAATGATGGGTGTTACGCAGCCTTAACATTACCGGTAATATAATCTGGAGGATACACTTAGAGATGGGGCTGAAGTGAAAAAAAAAAAAGGCAGGTCACAACTTTGCAGAATCCAAGCTTTTCAAATGTCTTTCATTTGTCTGGCCTCAAATCCAAAAGGAGATTTAGTTTTCTAGAAAATATACGACGAAGATAAGCAGCAAATCCTGTCATTTAAGGACATGGAGACGTGGGAGTGAGTAGAAATTAAGAATAAGAAGAAATTACATCTATTTAGATCAGTCTACTGTATCTTAACCTTTTACTTTTGAACTATTGCTATTACTACTGTAGATGTTTGTGTCTCCCGATCCAATGTTGGTTTTACTTTAATAATTCATGTGTTCATTCATGACTGTTTCCTCTAATCAATGTTGTAAACACTGTTTTTGTTTTTCCCCTGTTAATGTTGTTTTTGGTAGTTTTCACTTCCTCTTGCTGAGAGTTAAGAACAGACGATGTCACACCTTGTTACGTGTGCCCATGCGACAAATTGTGATTTGTGAATATCGGCCGCGCAAATAAAATCTGATTGATGATAATTCAAGGATCATGATAAATATATCCCGAGGATCTATGAGCGTCAGACATCTGGTGCAGCTGGGTTGAACATGAGGGGACGGTCTGGCCTCGGTGGTGATATGTGCTCATCGACTAATAGTTGCAGCTCTTCTTCTTCTTCTTCATCATTTTGAATCCTGGCTTCTCCTCAGCAGCACATTGAGTTTGAATTTTCCCCACTGGTGGTGACCGTCCCAGCTGCCACTGGGCTGGGCCACGCTTCTCCACACGTCCACCTCCACAGCTCGACTCAGGCCTGCGGACCCAGATGATGAGGGGAAAGCAAAGGGACATGGCACCAACACAACACACCTCACACACCACACTCTTGAGGGGCATGGACCGGATGACCATCAGCCTGGATTGAACATCCAGGAGTGCAGCCTGCAGGACAGACAGCCTCGGAGGGTGAATATCACCCACAGCTGCTGTGTGAGCGGACACAGGCGAAGAGGAGCTGGAAGGAAACAACACAGCTGAGATAACTTGGCTTTAGTTGCATTAGCAGAGCTGCTAGCCTGAATGTACCGTCTCTGTGCAGACCCACACAGAAGGCCACGAGTTAGAAAACACTCCGCCTCCCCGGAGCTGGACCCGACAGCTGCCGGAGCACGAGTCAAATCAACTAAATCAACAAAGTGAGCGCGGCGGGCGACACCGGGGGCTGCACCGGGGGAGTGGAGGAGCTAAAGCGTGTTAGCCACCGACGCTCCGGCGGGCGGTCGTGCGCCGAGTGACGGGCAGCGACTCGCTCCTCTGACGGACACTCGCGCCGCCGCGGGCTCGGTGGTCCTCGCGGCTGACGGGCGGTTTTAACGGTCACGGTGGATTCAAGGTTGACGCTCAGCGGGAGTTTATTTACGAGCGTTGTGTAATTGACGTAAAACACCGTAACACCACCACCTCCTCCACAACCACCACCTCCTCCTCCTCCTCCTCACCGGGGTTCTCCGCCGTTTAACCGTGACACCCACCCGCCACGACTCGCTCCTCCTCACCGTGTGGAGCTGCGAGATATCACGGAAACAAATCCCCTCACTCACCGGAGGAATCCTCATCTTGTTACGCGGAGCCCCCTCCGTCACTGTCCGTCATAGCTAATCGTCTCTCCGGGCTGTTTTCTGCGTCTCCTCGCCGAGACACCGACCCGCTACCGCCGCCGCCTCCGCCCGCCACCGTCCGCCAGACTCCGGCTGCACTCGTGGGAGAGTCCAGCCCGAGATCACCGGAGCTGCTCCGCTTCAATGTTGAGGAAAAATGAGGAGAACCGTCAAGAGCCACAGGTTATGTCCGCCACTTCCGGCTGTGGTGTCATGTCAGAATAAAAGCCAATTTCATGCGCATTTAAACGCAATAAAACAAATGTTCGTTTGCTGATGTCATAAAAACAGAGAGTGTATTAAAGTGTACAGAACGAAACACACTTCAGTGTTTTATTGTTTTTCTTTACAAATCAATAAATGGTTTATATTTTAAGATTAAACTGACATTTACAACTCATTTGCTCTGACACGACCCAGTTTGAAGCTGGTGAGGTCATTTTAAAATCAACCCCTGGTCACTGAATGAAGACCAGTGTGGTTTTATTATCAGTATGCAGGAGAACCACAGTCTGGATCTTTGCGTGATAAATCTTCTCCAGACTCTTTTACGTTATTTCACTTCCTCGGCTTCCTGTCTCGCTGCAGCGATGCACCTTGACGCTCGGCTCCAGCAGCTGCAGCACCGGGGACATGTTGGCTCTAACCGGGCCGCTGGAGGTGCTGAGCCCCGGGGCGGGTCCGCAGCTCCGTCCCGCCTGCGACATGACACCCTGGAGCCAAAATGGGCCCGATGCTCCCTCCCCGGTGACCGTGTCTGCACACTGTGTCTCAGTCTACGACCGATTTTCATTAGTTTTACAATTAGTTTATAAAAGTCACGTGCACAGGCTCGTTAACATCTCCAGAACCATAAATTACTTATTTAATGTTTTTAAGTTACATATAAAATATGGTTTAGTTTAAAAATATGATGTCACGTAATAACCAAAACATGTTTTTAAGTTCAAACTACTCTGCAGTGTGTAAAAGTGAAAATTAACTCAATATTTTAGTTATACATGAATACATTGGGTTAGTATAAACTCTCCCTACATATTAATAATCAGTAAAAATTAATTAAATTATAAATATCAATATTAAACTAACCGCAAATATTCAGCTGCTTTATTTTCTATACTCATTCTTAAAAGTATTAACTTACAACTAAAACTTCAGAGAAGTTGTGAATGCAGGACTATTGGAGGACTTCTACGTTGTGGTGACACTCATTTTATTTAGTAAAGTTTTCCATTAATATCAAGAAGGCAATTGAAGTTACCACAACCCAAAGTGATGTAATAACTTATAAATCATGAAAATATTTAAAACTAATATTAAAGATAAAAATAAAAAAGTAAAGCGAGATACTAACAGCAACATTTAGAATGTTATAAATTATTCAGTTGTTTTTCTCCGGTTCTGCCGCTGTACACTTGTACTACACTACACAGCTGTACAGTTACTCATTATTTATCTCTAAAGATTTAACACACAACAGTGAAATAATACAATACAGTTAAAACGAGGCTCCGTTTAACCAGATGCATCATTAAAATGCTGCTAAATCAGTGTTAATATTTTATGATAATTAAACATTGAGAGGGGCCATTCAGCTGTATATCTAGTTAATTTCCTCAGTAAATTATGTAAGAGTGCAGGACTGAGACTTGAAATGAAATCTTATATTTTACTTTTCAGTTTTACTACATCCATCATGGTTGTTTAATTATGTTTTATCATTCATATTAATACAGAATACATCTTTCACACTATTTTAACAAGATTAGAGGTGTTTAAATTTAATTTGAAAATAGAATTTTGCTTGTTTGAGCTGATAATTCATTTTCCGCAGACGACTGTGTCACACAACAGTTCAGATATCTATGAATCCAAGGAAGAGGTGCACTGCAGTTTATTCCATTTATACAATCAGCATCAATTAATACTTCAGGAGTGAGAATATAATACTGCAGCTTTTTATTCAACAGTTTTCCCCTTTCAATTTGTTCCAGTAACCAAATTAAATCCCAAAACTCAAATAATAAAGAGAAACGTGAATAGCCCAAAAATGTTTTATTAAATTCATTATCACCACTATATGTAAAATGAATTACTCATTCACTTTAATTGTAATTTAATAAACAATCTCTTAAATACTAGCCACGTTGAACCATGTAGAAAGCTTAAAGTATTTCTTAAGTAGTTTGAGTCCTTTGGGTGCGAAGATTTATACAGATCCTCTTTTCTCGGAGTGTCCACAATATCAACGCCTACTGAAATCAAAACCTACTGTATCTGCATGTTGTCACGGTTGTATTTTGCTGTTGTGGCAGGCTGAACCAAAGTGGTTCACGTCTCCGGAGATGATGCATTGCACCTTTAACAACCGTTTCCCCCACAACAGGAAATGCCCTTTGTGAGTCCGCAAGAGGTAAAAATAAAAACGGCTGACGGAGGAATAAGGAGGATTCATCAGTTTGCTTCGTTCTTTGAGGCTTCGTCAAAGTTCTCCACGAGATCTGAGAGACAGAAAACCACACGTCAGAATCAGAAAAATGATGATGGACAGAGTCACTGTTTCACATAAAGATATAAGTGCACTTGAATTACTTTTATTTTCAATAAATGTAATAATTATCTCCATCTATACCTGGAACATCGTCGTCCTCCTCTTCTGCATTTTCCTCCTTGACTGCTTTCATGTCCATTGCTAAAAAGTGTTGAAAGAAATTCAAATTATTTTAAAGTTCAGTAACAAGGTAATCAACATAAAGCAGTGTTGCCGCTCCGCTCATTTTGCAGCAGGGGCAGATGTCAACGATAACTTTCTTAACTCTAAGGTTCTTAAAGTGCACCAGTAACAGCAATACTATAAATGAATTGGTCATCAGTGAAACTTGACATACTGTAACATCTGCAGCCTTTTCTCTTCATCCACATCCTCACACTCTCCTGTCAGGCTCATCATCTGTGACAGTTGTAATTCTTCGCCCTCTGACACATTTTCTTTGCGGTGCATTTCTGTATTAAAGACGTCAAAGACGCCCTGAACATGTTTTCACTTGTCATAAATGTATTTCCCCTGTTGCATTGAAACACTTGTCACCAGCCCCCAGAAGCTTCTGCAGGTGAAAATGGACTAAAAACACTTTTAGGGTCGACGAACTGAAATCTATCTAATAATGCAACAAGACTGCTGCACTGTTACTGAATATCTGATATGAACGTGCATCTTGTCCACCCTCCACTTTTAAAAGCCTAAATTCCACTGAAAACGAATTTCTTGTATTCAGTTGGACCCTGTGACATTGTGACAATCAAAATACAAGTGTGTGTGTGTGTGTGTACTCACATTGCCGTGGGAACTGCTCGGCCAGCTTACGCAGGCTACTGAGGCTGTCGGCTCCCAGCTGGCTCAGGATGCCTGGCAGCATCTCGGTCAGCTGTTTGATCTCGGCGTGGCCTGTGATAGCGAAGGTGTTGGCGGACAGAGACGCCTGCACTTTGGGGTTGTTGAAGTGGATCACCGTCCCATCGTCTTTTATCATATTCACCTGAGAGGGGAAAAGAATATGTATTCATAGTCCACGGTTTGAACTCAGTATTTTAAAAGTCCTATTCCAACGTTTTATAAGCTAAATGTGTTATTTGCTGTATTTTAATGCATTTGAACCGTATTATTTTTTACAATTCAATGGAAAATTAATCAGGTAAATTCAGCCACGACACCAATGACGGAGCCAAAAGGAATTTTGTGCATAACACTTCTGAGTCAACCTCATTCTTTATCAAATCACAAAGCTTTGACTAAACTGAAACTCTTTGTTGCAGCTTGTTTGATAAAAACGCTCTCGGGACTGACGCGAACCCTTTGGCTGGATTCCCCTTGTCTTTATCTTTCATCTGACGGAACAATGATTAAAGCAGAACTCTCAAAGAACAAAATACATCTGACATTAGTTTTATTTGTAATCTGAAGGGAGGTGCCTCACCTCCTCTATCCCTGCGATGTTGTTCACCGCCAGCTTCTTCAGCGAGCCCTGGAGTTTCTTGTCGTCAGCTGTTGCAGTTTTGTGAACGACCTTTTTCTTCCTGCGGGCTGTTCCCTGAGGAAAGAACAGGTGTGGATGCCAAAAAAAGGATTAGATTACCAAACAAGCCAAAATCAGCTCAAGAACATGGTGTCTGACTTGTCTTGTCTGTGTTAGACATTTATTATTTTTACAATTAGGTCATCAATTACTCTTTTCTGGACTTGGGGGTCACAGCAACAAACAGTCGATCCGGTTGAAACAACATTATCTACAACCTGTAGCTTTTTCTAAATTTCTCCAGAGAGTTTTAATGTCAGGAATCTGACTCGCAAATGGTTTACGAATGTGGCATTTGCCCAGTTTTTTAATGATCATCTGTCTCCAAAAATTAAGTACCAAGATAACTGCAGTAAAAAAAACATAAAAAGAGAGAGAGAGCTGACTTTTATGAAACAATGAGAGGAAAAAAGACTCTTGATTCACAAGCAAGATAAATACTATCCAGAAAAAAGTCAATCGATAGCCACAAAGACCATTTAACGTTGATCTTTTTATCATTGTTGGGGCTTCATGAATAGAAACAAGTCAAACTAAAGAAAGTAAATCTATCAATTATCACATTTTTATGCTTTTACTCAACCAGATGTTTAACCCAGGGATTTCACCTCCCAAAAATGACTCAACAATCTTGTAGAGATCCTCAGTTAAATCCCAGGATTAAATAACTCCTGACTGATCAGATACTGTCTAGAGTCTACTTGTTACTTCTGGTAAAAATACCAATTGTGTAAATATATAATTGAGAATGACAGCATGGTGCAATCTGCAAAAGAGGCCTCTCACACTTCATAGCAAAATGGCAAATAACGCCACCTAGTGCGTGGCTGCAAACCTCACACTAAGAGGAAACAAAGCCACAGAGGCCACAGATAAATCCTCCTCCCACCGCCTCCATATAAAGGGAATGCTGAGGTCAGGGGGAACGACCTGGCAGATGCTGGATTCCATCACACTCCTTAAAAACTAAACGGCAACAACCGAACCACAGAGAATTTGACACCATTGTTTCCCTGTTTTGTGGTTTTAGTATTTATTAGGAGGGGGAGGTGTCCTCCTCTATTAAACCCCACACCACAGACGTTAAGCACAAATGAGCTTGAGACGTAATTTTTAATCTTGGACATGGAGTTCCAAATCCAGTTATTAGCTTTGTCTCACGCTTTCGTCAGTGAACTGAGCTTGAAACTAAAATGACATGACGCCATCACAGCTGCTGACACTTCACCTGAGTCACGTCTGTGACATGTGAACACACGCTGATGAAGATAGTTCCATGACTGTTGAAAGCTCGAGTCTTGTAAATAGACCTTTAGTGGGATTTTCTCATCTAACTGAAAATAGTTGAAGACTTAAGGGTGGATTTTATTAAAGGGGCCAAAAGGCTTGTGAGCCAAACCCAAGCTGTACACGGTAACCCTGGGTTTATGGGTAATTATAACATAAAAAGCATAATCAACAAAACATGTTAGGAGACTGAAACGTACCTTTCCACCTATCCGGACCTGTGCCTGGAGTTTGGCGAGCTTCTCTTGATTCATGGCGATCTGGATTAAAACAGGAACACGACTTTAACAACATTGATATTTACATTTTCACATGTTTTCACATGAGATTAAAAATAAAAGACGATCAGAAAACACAAGGTCTCCACGGTTCCGTTTCAGGGGGCAACACGTGATAACTGATGAAAAGCAACGAAGGGCTAGCATGCTTCGCGTTTCCACACGTTAGCATAGCTGCTAACCAGGTGAGAGATCCGCTGACAGTTACACTCACGCTTCACTAACGACGCTGAGCAGCGTTTCCGGGATAAGATGAAGAAACTGACACGAGGCCACACTTCGAAATGACATTTAATTAGCTTAAAGGTGGCTAGCGAGGCTGCTAGCTAGCTAGAAGGCTAATGTAGCTAATACTAGCACGGAGGCTAATGAGGTGAGTTCAACGAGCAGGGTTTTTATTTTCGCGGTTAAACAAAGAGCGGAGTTCACGTTAAACGATGAAACGACGCGGTGAAACAATGATATTTCTATTTTTACCGTTTGTAAGATTCACTGACAGCCCGAGGACCAGCTCCTGATGCTAACGAGGCTGAGACAGCGCAGCTTAAACACGCAGCAACAACACCCGCTTCCGCCTCCGCCTTTCACAATAAGAGTTTCAGTGTTCTGGTGGTGAAAAGGAAACAAACCAAGGCACTTTTTATTTTATTTTATTTAAACTTTATTGAATCATTCACAAGATCTATTTTTCCAGAGAGGACTGAGAACAAGAAACATTCACAACCTGCAAAAAAACCATTACACACAAGCAACGACAATAATAACAACATAATAAAAATAGATGAGTGAAAACAGTCAAAAGATTCATACAAAATAGGAAAGATTGACTTTAGTTTGAGGGAAGTTTGTAAATCATTCAGTCATTGAGAAGGTGCAGATTAACTGAATTCAGTTCTGCCAACATTGGTGCATACATGAGGGATGTGTGAAGTTAAAGGGAGAGTTCACCAAAAACTTTATTCATTATCTACTCGCCACTATTCTGATGGAAGGGTGTTGAGTCCACAAAACACTTCAGGAGTTTCAGGAGTAGACAGCGTCGAAGACAAATTCAATACACTTGAAGTAAATGGTGTCCACTTCTTCAAATGTGAGAAAAACAACTAGTGTCTCGTTAAAACTCTGGCTAATCCCCAATTTGTGATTATAAAGTTGCCCATCATCAATTACATGTCCCATTCAATATTTATTCCAAGACTGCAAGTAATGATCATTTTAATTGTTTATTATATTAAATATGTAACATTCATCTGCAGCAGTTATCAGAATAATCAGGAATCAACTCATCCTTTTTCTCAACACACTGTAAACTGTCATTACTTTGTAAAACTGGGAGGTTTTTAGAATATCATGGAATATATTTGAGATCATGAACATCACCTCAATCACAATAACTTTAGCACACTTTAACTATTTTTGTCCAATTTCCTGCAGACGAGGATTAAACCTCTGGAACATTTCAGATGTGGCGAGGGCCCCTGAGACGCCTCCAAAAACACAACTATTAGACACAGTACATATGTTGGTGGATTTAACCAATTTTAACAACTAAACTTCAAGTTTGCATCTGAAACCAGCCTCAGCATGATTTTTTTTTTTTCCAAGTGTGCTGCTTTTAAACTTTTGTTTTCCTGCACGTTTCCGGTCTCAGTCCAGCATTTCTCTGTCTGACTTTATTAAATGAAGCCGCAGCACGCGGTGGTTGGGGATGTGACGTCATTTCATCCACCCCGGAAGTAGAAACAAAAGGAGGAGCAGTTTGCACCGTCGGGATTACACCAGCATATTTTCACAACCGCACCAGACGGGCTTTTATTGTGAAGTGCAGCGGTGTGAAGTTCCGGGTCACAGCTGGTTTGCGGTGAGCGCTTTCTGCCATTAGCTGCTGAAGAAGAAGAAAAAGAGGAAGATGCAGAACTCTGCTGTGAACGTGTTGTTGTTGTGGTCTGTGCAGCTGCTCGTGTCTCTCACGTGTTTCCAGGACGTGGTGGAAGCTGCCAGCGGAAGAGGTGAGTCTCTGTCCCCAGATCAGCTGCTGGGTCACTGGCTGTCTTTGTGTCAGGATCCTGGATCAGTGTGTGTGTGTGTGTGTGTGTGTGTGTGTGTGTGTGTCCTGGAGCAGGGTTAGTTTACTGCAGGTGGTGGAGCCGAGCTGTCCACCACACTCTCACTCCCTTATTATCTGATATCATCTTGTTTTGACTCTTTGTTCACATGTCACACTTCCTGTGTCTGTGCTCTGCTGCTGTGTGAGCTGCAAAATGCTTCTGAATGGTTTCTTATTATTTGCTTTTTAACAAGATATATCAAATGCAAAACTGCAGTGGACAAAATACACAAATCCTGCACTTTACCTCTTTAGGAGCATTTTGTATTCTCCAGTCAGTACAGATCTCAGGTCTGTATCCCCCCCCTGCAGCTTCATATTGAATTACGTCTCATTGTGTTGTATTTGCAATTGTCTCCCGACCACTCTGTCTTTGTGTTGCTGCTGTATTTAGGGCAGACCCACCCGGTTGTAGAAATATAAAACCAGTCCCACGATTCATTTCCCCGCAGGGTTCGGAGACAACATCCACTGGAGGACACTGGATGATGGGAGAAAAGAGGCGGAGGCCAGGTGAGCTGACACAGAGACGCTTCCTCAGGTGTCGACAACCACGTGAAAGTGGATAAATGTGACCTGGAGGAGTCGTCACTTCCTGTCACATTAACCTGAGCCCTCAAACTGAGTTGATTTCAGCAGCTTAGACTTTACGTTTCAGTGCAGAGTTTTTATTTTCTACAGCTGCAGGTCGGACGATCTGATTTACTGGTTTACAAACTTACTCGTGTGTTTGCATTGACAGCGGTCTGCCGATCATGGTCATCGTCCACAAGAGCTGGTGCGGAGCCTGCAAAGGTAAAACAACGCTCTCTCCCTCCGTATGTTCACTGCAGCTGATCTATAGACGCTGCTGCTGCTGCTGTTCAGCGGAACTCCTCCAGTCTAACCACCACCTGTAATGTGGCTCGACAGGATAAACGAGAAATGATAATTGAAGGCCGGAGGGTCTGTTTGAGGTTTTGTACTTTTTTAAATTTGAGAGTAAAGAAATGAACGAGAGCGATAAACAACCAACCACACAAATGTAACTGTGAACTGACGTTATAAATGTTTTAACGCTGAACTCGTCTTTTTAAAGATTCAGGGCAAAGACTATGACATCATCATTGTCCTGGATGTGAAGATACGATTATAATTATTTGTGTTTTTCTCTTTCATCAGCGCTGAAGCCAAAGTTTGCTGAGTCCAGGGAAATCTCTGAACTTGCACACAACTTTGTAATGATCAACCTGGAGGTAAGAAAATGTTGAAGGCAGCATTTTACAGAAATACCTTTTTTATGGAGCTGCAAATGTACACATGTATGTGTCTCAATATTAGTAGTAGTATTTGTTATACTCGTACTTTATATTTCCTATCTTCTAAGGAATTTTATCAACTCTTACTTATAAGTAATATATTTAATTATGATTTTTTTAAATTTTTTCTCTTTATCTTTGTTGTAAAATATCAATTAGGACAAAAAGAACTGAATTCAGTTAATTGAAAAAAAACCTTAGACTTTCAATAGACTAACTTTCAATAAATCTATTTTTAATTGAATGTGGTGAACGGTGATGGAACTCAGACATCGATGTGCATCAGATGTTAGAGATTTGTTCCCAGACTCGTAAATTATCAGTTGTTTCTTATCTGAACAGGACGAGGAGGAGCCAAAGGACGAAACCTTCAGTCCCGATGGTGGATACATTCCTCGGATTCTTTTCCTCGGTACGGGGGGGTTGAGTCCCTCTGCATGCAAACACTGTTTTAGATTCCTTTGGAGAAACTGATTGCAGTTGGTCTTTCTGTTCTGAAAAACATGTGGGAGCCTGAATGGTCGTACCAGTGAATTAACGGCAGTACATGCAGGTCAGAGAGATAATGGTTAAAACAATGGGAGAACAATTCGTTCCAGATGTTTGACAAAAAGAAGAAACTCCTTAGGTGGTTTGAAAACACCTGTGTGTGTGTGGTGGTAAAGTTTATCCCACTGGAAATGAAGGGTGTAGCTTACATTTTATGGACCAAACAATGAATCCATGATGAAAACAGTGGGGAGTCGTAGCCCTGTGTTGGTTTCAGGATTCTAATTTGAACTAAACCGACCTCCTCTTGTTGCCGTCACAGATCCAAGCGGCAAAGTCCATCCGGAAATCACCAACAAGAACGGAAATCCAAACTACAAGTACTTCTACAGCAACGCAGAACAAGGTAACATATCACCCTTACAGGCAGGAACAGAACTCACATCTGTGCTCAGAGGAAACAGTTCAGACAACAAGCGTTGTTGATCATCATGTTTCTTGTCCCCCCCCCCTCCCTCAGTTTTGTCCGGTATGAAGGAGGCGCAGGAGAAGCTGACGGGCGACGCCTTCAAGCAGGGTCACACCGGCGATGAGCTGTGAGGAGGCGGAGGCGGGCATCAGGCTGTAAGGGCTACACTTCTTCTACCTGAGCCTGAGCTTCAGAGCGTCCTCTGACACCCCCACCCCCCGACAGTTAATATTCATCCTCATCACACCTCATGCAGTGAGTTCGTCTCACTGAGCAAACCATTTGTTCTGGTCTTGTACGGTTTCTTTCGTGTCGAATCGCCGCTCTTTGTCCCGTCTTTGTTTTGAACCATGTTATACTTGTAATGAACACTTGTTAATTAAAATGCCATCTACTGTAACGTTAATGTCTGTAGAGGATGTAAACAACTCAAGCTAGCCAAGTGAACTGCAGTATTTTATTAACTCTCGTCTGTTGTTGGAAGGAAACGTCACATCTTCCGTTCGCCGAGTTTCCACCACTGAAGTGAAATTCCTGGTTTCTCTCCCGACAGCCAAGAAGTTTAATCTTTTACTTTCTGATAAGTTTCATTAAACAAGTCGTGGAAAATTAAGAAATCCCTTCAGTTGAACCAGTTTTAATGTTTTCACCCAACAGCAGTGGTAAAGTATTCATACACACCAAGATTAATATACTAACACCTAAAGTGATGTGCTTCCAAAGATCCTCCTCAGTACGTTGATTATACATGTGACATCATCATCACCGTGCACTACTCCCTATATACTTCTGATTTGTGTTCTCCTGTCTTTAAATTACCGATGATTCAGTTAATCCTGCACATTTATCTACTTATTTAGCTCAATCTGAATAACTTTGTCTGTTTTTCTGCTTGTGAAGTGAGTTGTTCTGCCTGTTTAGACCTTGTTAAACTCTTTGAATGAAGGACGGAAACATTGGTTAAGTATCTCAATGTATTTTATACATGCACACGACCAAGTGTGCAAATAAAGTTTATTGTATTGAGTAATTTGTGTTCATGGTTGTCACTTATCAGGAATAAATACTCATATTTTTCCTTAGAACAAATAAAGATGGATGACGTGTCTCCACTTCCTGACTATCCAGAAACGAAGCTGAAACATTCTGGATGTCGAACGCTGCCATATTGTGCATTTAGAGACATTTCACCCCATTTTAAAATCATCAAATGAGTAAATTGTGAGCAATAACAACACTGCAGCTAGAACTATATCAAATTTTATTGTCTATTAACAATAGTGATCCCTTATGGTTCGTCAAACAACAACAACAACTGCCGTGAACAGTTAACATCAGCAGATGACACTAATCAAGTCACTATTTAAATTCAGTTTGACAGTGATTTTAAATAGTGCAGTTACATCAATGCGAGTGCATTTATTTAAGACATTGGATTTGCAATTGATCCCATTCCAGGCGCCGCCTTCAAAATGGCTTCCGAGTCTCGCCACGTGTCTGCGTAGACAATGTCTTACAGCATCTGATTTTTCACGATAAAATAAATTACAGGAAACTAATAAGCGTGCGTCTCTGACTATGCCTCAGTTGGTGACATGTCAACAGACTGGAACAGCATGAGAAACATAAGGAAAGTTGGTGGAATGTGTCGTTAAACCCTGATAAAGGCATTTAAAGATCAAAACCCTCTTTATTGCTCAGTCTCTGACAAATGGACGCAAGGCTCACGCTGAGACATTTAAGGGCACAGAGAGAATCGCAAAGTAAACTAACGTTAATGACGAGAGCGTGGTGGACGCTCTGATAGTTCTTTACTATGAGGTCATCGAAAAAGATTTCAGAGATGAGAGGGGAAATAAAAAGGTCTTGTTTCAGACAGAAATATTGCTACAATCACTATAATTACACTAAGATGCTGCTGCTAGAAAATCAGCAGCATTTTCACATATAAAAAAAAAAAAGCCTATAAAAAGCTGTGTGACACATCTGTATGCTCAAAGTTACACAGCTGTAAAGAATGATTAAAACCGCGTGATTGTTTTACAATTTAAAGTTGTGCAAGTACCATTTACAACCAGCGTGATGAGTCACTGTTGACTTCTTCAGCTGGTCTGACTGAGGAACAGCATCAGGTGCAGAGATCCTGCCTCTATAGTGGGACGTAGTTCGATACAACATCTGGATTTAATCACCAACACCTCTGTACACGAGAGGCCGGTCCAGTGCTGGAAACGGAATTCCACACGACATGGATCATTTGACAAGATTACACCCGAACCCCGACATGTGAAATGAAGTCGACGTCCAAGTGCCAAGCTACAGCTAACAGCTAAGTGACGGTGGTGGACACTTCATCCACCGCTGTTTGTGCAGGATGAAGTTTGTCCAGTCGGCTTCTGATGGTTGGAAGGGGTGAGATGAGGGTGAGTGTGTGAGTGTGTGTGTGTGTGTGTGTGTGTGTGTGTGTGTGTGTGTTTGGACAGGCAGGAGCAAAACTTAAAATCTTCCCTGCTTGGCGTCACCGATGGCGCCCCACACGTCGAAGACAAACTCATCCGGAAAGGCAAAGTCCCCGAGGGTCTCGTCTAACGCCATGGCGAATTCGTCCGGGTTTTTCTTGTCGCGGCCGACCTCGACCATCGTGGCAGCTGGAGAGAGAAGAGACCTTTTGATATCAAATCATCAAAATGAACCGTAGAGATTTATTTTGGAGGTAACGTTATCACTACGCTCTCAGACGTCTCGATGATCATAAAGAGTGACTGACAGTGTTGATATCACTCACCCAGTTCCGTGTCCCTGATGCCCATGTAGCTCTCCAGCAGGTCATCCACTTTCTTCACCGCCTTCTCCTCAAACTCTGTCGGCTGGAAAACACAAACAAGTCATTCAGTTTGTTTTGTCCATCGTCCCCAGGATGTTGCAAACTTTCATCAAACTGTTTTCAATGGTGAGGGGGACAAACGAGTGAGTATGAGTATACATCCCGGTCTGCGTGCATCTTCCTGAAATATATTCCTCATTAAAATGTCCAAAGGGAGAACACAGCTCGTTCTCCCAGTGGAGGACACTCACAATATAAAGTGAGGGACAGTGAAGTGGAATGAATTTAAATAAACTCTCATCCACTGATACTTGAGCTGTCACATCCAGGTCTCAGTGAGATAATCCAGAGACACTTACCTCCTCCTCCACAGTAGCTGGGCCCTTGGAGCGGAGTCTCAGCGTCCCCTTCCCTGTCCCGATTTTGTTGTCACTGGCAGGTTTGGCACCCTTCGACCTGGGCTCAAGCATTTCTACCAATCAGAGCAGAAGCAGTGTCTTGTTTGAATTGTTTTTTCTAAAGATGAAGTTTATTTAAATAGCATCAATATGGGTAATATATGTAAATACAACAATAAAGTAGAACAGCAGGTGCAGTAAGGTGTTGATGCTGGTGTCTCTTGAGTGTCCTTCTCTTCTTGTTTCCTACTCACCGAAGGCCTTCATGGGCTCGACCAGTTTGAGTGTGAAGGCTTTGTCTCTGGGCAGCTCTTTGAGCATGCGGGCGACCTCGTAATGTCGTATCCCGATGATGTTACGTCCGTTAATGCACTCTATGTGGTCGCCCACGCAGATCACCTTCACCCCGTCCACAACACTGCCCTCTTTGATACGCTGCCATGAAAAGAGAGAGGAGGGAGGAGGGGGCACAGCAAAACCAGAAAAAGACAAAAATCAGTGACAAGTTTTAACTTAAAGACAATGAAATGAAAATAACGTTTGTTTCTGTATGAGAATTAAACGGCTTTAACAACTGTTGTGCAAATATATCTGCCCCACCAGGTTTGGAGCAGTTTTCATATAAATGATAAGAAATATGTTCATTTCACTACATGTTTGGTTTCAGACAGATTTTGTAAATCTGGGCAGAAACGTTTCATGTTCTTCAGGGTCTACAAGTTGTTCTGTTTATTTTAGATGTGTGAGCTGCAGTAGTTTAATTGTCCAGACAACTCAGATTAAAAGCGAATGAATTAGTAAACTGATCGATGGCCAGTTTGACTTTATCTTCATAGAGGCAGCATCTCCTCAGGAGCTGATGAGGTACAGCAGCATCACAGAACTCATTCCAGTGTCAGTTTTATCAAGATGCAGTGCAGCTTCAGAATCACATGATGGCACATATGAGCAGCTTGTTCTGAGAATGAAGAAGCAACTTCGACCAGCTCGCATCAGGGAACAACGTACAGGCTGAATCATGATTTCCACCCTGAAGTTTGCCGTCATGCATAAAAGTTATTACAGTGTAAAATATAGAATAGCCAGCTGCTGTTTTGTAGATACAAAGAAAGAGCATGTTTAATCAAATATAATCATAAAGTTTCTTTGCTGATTTGAGTATTTCCCTTAATTTATTCTTCACTTTACTTGTATAATATGATATTTTGCATGGTTGTGTGTTATTAGGTGTTTTTTTTTTTAGTACAAGTACATTTTTCTACTTTGATGGCTAATAATGATGTTGTATTCATATTCTAATCCTTTCCACTATAAGTTCAGTATTAATCAGTGACAGGATCAATAATGGGTAAATCCAGAATTCAGGTTAGCAGGTCAAAATTTCTCTTTGGCTTCTTGAGCGTTATCATTAATCTTAACTGAATTAAAATCTAAAACCACGACTGTTATCATCCCTGCATGGATATAAACTCAACCACGTGGCAGCAGCAGTGCAGAGGATAAAATCATGCGGCCACAGGTCAGGAGCTTCACATTCTCACCTTTATGAAAGCGTAGCCTGCTCCGTTGTCGGTGATGGTGAGGCCGAGAGCGTCCTCAGATTTATGAACTTCTACCTCCTTCTTGATTCCTTTAATGTGGGCGAAGATAAAATCCTCCAGGCCGATCTGGCCCCCCAGCAGCTTGTCCATGTCGATCTTGTGGGTGTTGAGTGTGCAGAACATGATCTGTGCCAAGACGTACAGCAGGCATGTAGTACATTTACAAATACGTACAAAAACAAACAGGAAATACACAGTCAATTGGTTTGGATAAATAAATTAAAAAAAGACCATAAAATGTTTCTGATGAGGAAAGACAAATTCAAATGTTGATCAGTCATTTGTTTTTTGGGCTCTAAAACTCTGAAGAGTGAATCTCTTGAGCACAGTTAGAAAAATAATCTCTGTTTTTAGTCACGTTGTGAAAACTGAGCCAGATTCAAAAATAAAAAGTGTGGATGACAAAGTGCTGCATCAGAAAGCTAAATACAGGAATCATCAGGGGGCAGCATGGTTAGTTATGTCCTCTTCCACCCCAGGGTGTCATTATTCTAAATCTGAGTATTTAACTGAGCTGTGTTTTAGGCCCCCAGGCCGAACCAGACATTGATGAAGCCAAAGGGGAAAATGACCTTTCCTCCTCTGCCAGAAAAGAAAAAATCTGGCTTCACACAGTGTGGCTGCTACATCTTGGCAGGACACAGAGACACAGAAATGTGATCACCCACATACACAAGTGTCCACATTTAACGACACATTAAAACAGAGACACGACACCGAAACCTGGGACGAGGAGTAAACCGGTTGTGAATCATTTATTCTCCTCTGACTCAGCGAGACAGGTATTATTAATATGCTCTACTTTTCTTGCTATTCATAGCTTATGTTAGTCAGATAAACCTACTCAGATATATGCCCATATATAAATAAGGAGTTTAAAAAACACAGAGATTTAGAGGTCGACTTCCGGGTTGCACGGTAGAAAGGGATTGATTTGCACTGGTTCATCAGGAAGACGACCTTTGTGCACCAATCAGGCTCTGGCAGCGAGGAATGCCTTGTCTGGGCCTTTTTTTTTTTTCTGAGCAACAACGAGGGCCGTTCTCACTCACACACACAGCTGACATGGCCTCATGCGTTGCCTTGGGAGACCAGACTATTAAAGAATGGGATTATAATGGAGAGGAGGCCGCTGGAGGAGAAGAGAGAGAGTGGACGTTATAGGAGGGAATCTGTGCGGCGAGGAAAGGGTGAACTGTAGCTGAATTGATGTCTCTCTTTCTTTCTTCTCCATAACAGACACCCCGCCCCAGGCCAGGTTATTACCCAAGAGCGAGTGGGAGGAACAGCAGTGGACGCCTACAACGCGGTTACCAAGACGGCCGACTGCATTAAGCCGCTTCTCTGCAACACAAGCAGCTCTCAGCACTCCTCTCCTCCGGCTGGGCTGACGGCCACAGCTCGTTTGCACCGTCGGGTGTAGCTGGGGGTGCAGAGAGCGGCGCCTCATACTGCAGCAACTGTCTCTCCTCCAACGACCTCACAAGAACAGACACTACACCTCCCACTGTCTGCACAACACTGGCTTAGACCTTGATAACCACATGGAAAAGGGCAAGTGGAAGGAGATGCACTGCAATCTGCAGAGCATCACCCACGACAAGCAAATTTATGAGGTCAATGCTTTCAAAAGAGGAATGAAAATATACAAAATGTGATAAAATAATGAGTTCAGAGCCGTCAAACTTGAGAAAACTTCCTGAAAATTCTGGGTCTGGCATTGCCGAGTACACAAATCTATGTACTTATCCATTATCACATCTTTAAATGTACCCGAAATAAACTGCAGTTTCCTTTTCCTGGAAATTTGTTGAGCTGAAAATAATAAGTGATTACTGGTTTACATATTTGCTATACAACAGTGATAGCAATCATCACTTCCATGCAGGGTTAGAAGTGCAGCGGTATCAGATGGGTACTCTGTATCGGCCGTTATGCAAAGTCAAGGAATTGGTGTTGGGAAAGGAAAACGAGGCATCGAAACATCCCAGGTTAAAAAGTCATAATCACTAAATTACAGTTCCAGTTTTGTCCCCTTTCAGGAAAATGCAAATAGCTCGGCAGGTCACAAAGGAAAACAGCGGACATTGTACAATAAGAATAATATAGTGCAGGCATTTAATCTTCTCTCCACAGTTCTTCACCTACGTTTACTCTCTATACAGATAAATTACAAATCAATTCTACTGCCTGTGTTGGCAGGAATGTAAAGCTTGATGATACACTGGAGCTGTGAAATATTCCCTGCATTTAAAACAGTGCCGACTAAAAGCTGAACCACACAGTCCACTAACAGCCTCTTCAGCTGCTCTTGTAATGACGGAGAAGAGGTTTAGAAAGATTCAATAGAGACTGTCACGCTCATACTGGGGAGACACTCAGTGAAACAATGTTGTTCCCATCTCTGGTGTTCATCGAATGTTATTTCTGCACTGCATGTTTTAGTAGTTACCGGGGACTGCTGACCTAAGCTGTGAGTAATGTGGTGTGGCTGAGTTTTAAACAGGAAATCACATTCATCAGCGTTTAAGCCAGTGTAATCATTTACCTGACTGCGGATGTGATATATTAATGAAACTTTGTAATGTGGCCATGATTAGCTGACTGCCACAGAACCATTCATAGTCAGTCTCACATTTGATCATGTGGTCAGTTATCATTGATGAATTTATGAATTTAGGTCAAACTCTCCTCTGATCACATCACCACCCATCAGTCACATCGATACTCAGACTAACTTGAACCTGAAATTACTTCAGAAAACATGTTGTTGTGCTGAACGACTTTCCACTGCATCACTTCTGGTAAACAAGTACTGAAAACACAATGAGATCCAGTCCAGTCACACACACACACACACCTGAGGTCTGTTTCTGCAGCTTCACTTAGTGTCACGTTGGTTTTCTCTCAGCCGTGTAGTGTGCACACGGGCACAAAGGTTCATGCTCATTTGCTTATCACATATGCAATAACCAGTAACCATGTACGCACGCGCACGCACGCACACACACAAATTATTAATAAGTTCTGTCGAGCTTTTCCTCTGAAAAACCACAGAATTTCTTTTCAATTGTTAAAGTGATCCTACTAGATGAGAGGAAATGATTTGGCAAACAAAATATTTGAATACACGTATTATATTTATATGTCATGTTATAGGCAATGAAATGCAACACAACATGTCAGCCATAAATTCTACCTTTACAAAGATGAGTAGGTTTGAGGCATATTCATTGAATTATATGTTACTACACCATAGTGGTGCTGAGGTGGACAGAATTACAACGAGAGGTGTTTCTAATGTTCTTACCGTCTCATGAGGAAAATATTTTATTAAAAGTTAATAGTACAAGTATAAAATTACGACTAACTGCAGCATCAATAATAAGTGTTGAATTATTAAAAGGTCGTAGAGCTATTGTACTAGATGGTATTAAATTATACACGTTTACTTAACAAAGTGGCCAGTGTAAGAACATAATGTATAAATATAGTGAGGATTATTTTAGTCATGTTGCTGCACGTCAGAAATCCCCTAAAGGTTTTCTGAGCAAACTGTTTCCCACAGAACTAAAATGGATTTACAGCTCTAACAACCAGTCACTCAAGCTCATGTGCTGATGGGTCTAAGAGGCCTCTGTCTTAATAGTCTCCACATGCAGTTAAGTCTGGTTAGCCTTAACTGTAATTCATCCTGACGCTTGCATGCTTGGCTTTTACACATTATCTAGGAAGTGAGTGCAGGAGCTCAGCTAATACAAACTGCAGACTAAAGCTCAAATGAGACTGTTTCACCTAATCCCTCCCTCCTTCCCCCCCCGCTTAAGAAATGTCTGGCTGCAAAACATGGGAAGTGCAACCACCTGGAAGTGACGATACAAAAACGACCACAGCCCACATATTCAAACTGTAGGCAAATGGCTGCTTTCAGGGAGCAGAGGGCAGGTTCGCTGCAACACGCAGGTGGACAAAAAGCAAAGTCGCGGAGCCACACCTAAAACTCTGCAGCTGTCAGGGACAATAACCAGACTTTCACCTGAGCAGAGAGAGCAGATAAAACCTCCCAGAGTTGACATAATGTATGTACTGTTTGCACTGTAAAGCCTTCACTGGATTTAATTTGTTCAAATTATAATAATTCAGATACCAGTTATTTCCCTCACACAAATTCCTTCCAATCAGTTCTGCCTCCTAAATAAAGTTACTGACTCTGGGCTGGACTGAACCATAAGGTCTACTGTCTAATTAGGACACAACAACTGTCTGTTTGAAGAGCAATGTTTAACCTATTAGAGGCAAGGAAGACAATAACCATTGTTCATTACATAATTCTTATCAGGCTGCAGCCAAGCACTCATCTAACCGCAGTGTGACAGAGACACTAGTTTAGAAACAGCAACCATCATGGTTTCTGTGCGGCTCGGGCAGCGGTAGAGAAAATGAGCCTACGTGTTAGAAATAACACATCCTGCTGCATCCCTGAAAACTGAGTTTTGTTGGGATATACTGATAAACTCTATGTACGTAACAATATCCAGTTCCTTTCCATTACGCAAAAATGATAATATATATAATATAACATTCAAGGTGATAAGAAGTACAGAGAATGAGTTTTGTCCATGTCCCATAGACTAACATGGAGGAAGTGGGGTTTATAAGAGTTTACTTTTACATGTTATTGTATACAGTCTATATACACTGAGTTACCAGTTTATTAGGTACACAAGCATAAATAAATGTGGTCTAATAACAACAGACCTGCAGTGTATCCTCCCTTGTTTTTGTTGGAAGTCTTTCAGGGAAATGTTGGTCATTATCGAGGATATGCTGCTTTTGCCTTGCACTGTGTTTCAATGAGAGGTATTTCAACATTTACTCTTCCCCCACTGATACCTAAATGGGGGAACAAAATATTAGAAACACCTCTCAACATAATCCAAAGCATACATTTGGAACCAGTAGCAAAATGCACGTATCACATTGGCACCAGTACCCAGCTTTACTTAGAGGTATCCCATGGGAAATGTGACTTCCTACTTTATCCCTGAAAAGCTGAGCTTTGTTTGGAAGCTTAAATTGTGACACAGGTCACACCCAGGCAACGTACGCACCACATTAAGGTTGGGTGAGGTTCATGGAGGGGGGAGGCCCTGGGCAGAGCTGATCGCCAGGGTCCTCAGAGACGCCTCGGGCTGTGGCTGGGACGGGTTATCTGATCAGAGATTTGAGGCTGTGCCTGAGCCGGACCTGAGGGATTTCCCGTGGTAAAACCTGTGTAGTCTGAATATTATCACATCACACGCCCCCCCCTCTATCTATTTGTCTTAGTGTGTGTGTGTGCGTGTACAACTATTTGTGTTTCTAAATGGGGGAATACACACATAAGCACAAAATTCATCTACTATAAACCAGTGGATGTCAATGTGACATTATCAGCTTAATAACACAGCTTGATATATTAACATTTGGGCCATTATTTTTCTTTGTTACCTACTTGGCAAGAACTGAGGCATCACTCAAAGACAAATCCATTCTGTAAATGCGACAGCTATCAAATTCAATTACTGAAGTATTTTTGTACTTTATATGATCTCGTGTCTCCTTTTACAAGGAGGTCAAGGTTCAAAAATCAGCCACAGAAAAACATTTATGGAGATTGTGGAGGATCAGTGACTTGCTCAAGGACACTTAAACAAATCAGTTACACTTGTAATGCAACCTTCTGAAAAGTATCTAAAATCCCTTATCTATTCAACTCCTCAGTAGAAATATGTTTCATGCTTGGAAAAGAACATGGCACCAACAAGTCTAGACAGAGAAATAAAGTGATGGAAATTACTGATAGACATGATGGAACAAATACAGACGAAAAACAGAAGAGTTAGAGTTTCATTCAGGATCATTTCTGCAATCAAGTCAGAAATATGGAGGTGAACCTCGAGAGAAGTCCTCCACTAATCAAATGTTAATATACTGCATTGTTTGTGAAGCCTTCTATTGGGTCACTGTGTACCACCAACGCCACAAAGACAAATTCCTTTCCAATTATTGCCCTTGTTAAAAGAGGCAACTGTGTCTCTTAGCTTCAAGAGGGGAAGGAAGTTCAAATCTCCAAACCAGGCTGATAACAGGCTGCCCTGCCAGCCAATCTAGTCATGTTCAGGCTGACAAAAGCCAAACATACCACTCACACTTTCCTTTGAGGAGCTTTAGCAGCCTGACACAGACGCTGATTTTGGTTTCAAGACCTGGAATTTGATGTTGATGTTGTCATGGCCACGACAAAACGACCTGGTGTATGGAGCCCAACATTAATTTGTCAGATATCCAGTGACTGGCATAATGAGGACGCAGTCATGGAACACTGAGGTTGCACAGGCTGGGAGAGAGTTGGCAGGGAGAGCCTGTATGAACACTGACTAGCTTTGACACAATTAAAGTTTATGGCCAGCATGGGTCTAATCTCTAAGGCTTATTTTTCTTTATTAATTTTTTCTATATTATTATTCGAATAATTGTTTAGAGTATAAAATGTCCACTTTGAATAGTCTCACCCTAATCCACAACAACTGAAAATCAATTTATTCACACTGGGTTTTTTTGTGCATTATAGTGTATGAATGCATGTGTTTGTGTTATTTCTGTATATTTATAGTGTACTGCTACTTTCTGGTATTTTAATGTATGTGAAGCACTTTGTGACTTTGGTCCGAGAGAGGTGCTATAAATAATGAACTTTACTTACTAAATGTTTTGTGTTGTCCAACAATTTCAGTTCACTATGATTTAAAAATTGTTACAAAACCAACTTTCCAATTAATCACTTATCGAACTTACCTGTCTGAATATTAGTCTGTTTATATGGCTTGTATGTGTTGACTATAACAAGTCATTTTATGTTAATGTTGTTCGGTTGCCATTTTAAAAAACAGGGTGAAGATGAAAATCAGCCTGTTGAGCTAACTCTGGTTTATTCACAGTTATTCTGCTGTTAATAAGTGAGCACTGTCGCTGTCAAACAAACAAATAAAGAAACTTGTTGGGGATCCATTTGCTATAAATCATCTATCAAATTAATCTACTTGTCATTTCTACTTGCTCTGGGGTGCTGGTTGGGTCCTGGCTGTCGGGGGGGATATAACAACACTGCCAAGTACAAAGGGGGTCAAAAGGGGCCCCAAAGAGAACTATTTGCCCCCACGCCCCCCCAGGAGGTTAATCCGGCCCTGAGCACTTAGTAAAAGTCTGGAAACAAATCTGCGTGAACACTTCAGGTACTGTGAGGAAAACTGAGCTCCAGCCACTGAACGCAACACGAAACCACCTCCACGTTTCTCCCCACTAACACCAGGTGACATCTTACCTCAGGCGGGCTGATGTTAAACGCCTCGGCTATTTTGGAGTACAGCTCCTTGACGTTGGAGAAGCCCTCGATCCTGCCGGTGGGACTTCCGTGCGCCAGCTGCGTGTGGAACACCAGCTTGGGCCGCAGGTTGGCAGGTGGAGGCGGGAGTCCCGCTCCGTTCACGGTGGATTTACTCGGGTTCCCCGCACCTGCGTGACCGCCGCCGACCTCCTCGTTCTCCACCAAGTGCTCCTTCGTCGACTTGTTCTTCTTCTTCCACGGTCCCAGCGGCATCTTGCTGCTTGTTGTCCGTGTGTTTGTCCTGCGTGTCAAAGCAAAAGGTCCGAGCCGCCGCTACACCATCGAAGTACCTGTTGAGTCCCGAGCCGTCCGTGTTCACTTCCTTCTTTCCTCCGAGCCTTTCCGTCCTCCCTCCCGCGGACACTGGCTCGTGTCCGTCGCCGAGCTTGGCCTCCGGTGTTCCGGCTTCCTGGGTGAGAGTGTGCGGCAGGTAGATGGTGAGTGCGGGATAAAGTCTGCTGGCGGCTCCTCGGCTAACAATAGCTGCTCTGTTGGTCTCTCGGCGTGCGGCGGGACGCAGGCGCAGTGGGACGAGCCGCGGCCCCGCCGGGCAGGAGGGTCAGCCCCGCTGCACCTGCGTCCCACCACCGGAGGACCAGCACCTCAAAACTATTCCTCTGCTGTCTTTACCCACATGGCGTCAAATAATGCAGCTTCCAACCAAATACAACCCAACTGTATCATATTCATATCACATGTCAGCTCTCTGGATCTGATGTCTTCAAATTACAGACATTCATTTTGTCCCCCATTACTTACAATGGAAGCATGTCAGGAGCACATTACTTGCAAATGTATGTACACAGCCTGAATGTGATGCACGTCCCAACCCTTCTCTTTCAATCAGTTCACACATCGTACACCCACTATTTTAAATCGTTGACTAAGCAGAAGAAAAGAAATGTGAGTGACTGAGTTGAGAAGTGAAAAGTGGAGAAAAAAAGGATTTTTAAATAATCTGAAACACTCAGACAACTGAAGAAACACAAGCTGGTCAAAGGTCAAGATGAATGTTGGGAGACAAGATTCAAAACTGTTACCACTAAGCCTATTGTCTAAATTCAACAATTCCTCATGTGATAATATTGTGAATTTAAACTGCTTCTTATTCTTATTAGGACGTCACCTTCCTTCGAGATGAATCAACATGGAAGCAACACGTCTAGTTAAAGACATTTAAATAAAATCATAACATTATTCCTTCTGTGGGCTTAAAACTAGATATCTGTTGTCCTCTGTAAAACAAGCTTTGAAAAAAACCTTTGTACTTGTTAGAAGCAATTTTTTTTAAATCAGGTGGGTCTCCTAAATGTTCCATCTTATATATTTAGGTGTTTGTCATAGATTATATTACATGCAGCGATTTCCATCCGGCTGGTGGAGTCACATTGAGCAGGAGCAGGTGTATTTACTCTGCACCGTCCCCTGGATAACAGTGACTCATCATTTACTAAGCTGTCGTGAGTATTTTAGGGACGACAGTGTCGTTTAACAAATCTTTTTCAGTGAAAGGAACAATTCATTCCCCAGCAGAGGCTTGGTAACATTTACATAGACTAATGGTTAAATAACATGATCATTATTTGAGGGATGGATGAAATAAAACGCTTTTTGCAGGTATGTAATAATTACACCAGCGGTTATATTGCTTCTATCGAGCCCCCTCCCCCCTGAGTCATGATGAGTGATGTGGCGTCCCCTGGTGGGAAAATGTTACGGTCTCAGCGTTGGCAGCTGATATCCAGCAGCTGAGACCAGACAGCTATATTTACACAGTCATACTTTTTCTATTAGTAACTTCATTCAGTATATTTTTAATTTTAAACTTTGAACTTTCACTGTATAAGTTTTACAACAACAAAATATTCACATTTGACTTTCAAAATATAATATAGTTCTGATTATCCAGATAATTTGCTAATGCCACAGAGAATTCATTATGGGTAATATTGCTATGCAGACTGACTATAAATAGGCCCGAAGCAGCATTAGTGGTTTTAAAGTGATTATAGTTAGAGCACTGTTTATTTCATGGGGGGAGGATTCACCGGATGCCTCTCCATGACTGCAACAGCTCAAAATCAGTTCATGTGGAAATATTTATTTTAAAATTCAAGTTCAGTATCTTCACATGTAAGATTCTTAATTTCACTCCACCACTTCTTTCCTCTTAAATAACTTGTACACTGATTTTTAAGACAGCCTCCAAACTGATACAATCTAAAATGAGAGCACGAAAATGTACGGTTTGGCACTGCAGTTTTTTTTTTGTTTTTTTTTTGGCAACTGTTGATTCATTCACAGCCAAACACTTCCATCAAACAAAAAGATAAAGTGATTGTGAAAAAGACCCACGTACATAAAATATGTACTTTCAGATATTAACGGTCAGTCTGTCGCCTGTATCGACTCGGCAGCATGCACGGTATTTATAAAAACACCAACCAGCTCAAAAATAGAAACTGCTCATTAGTTAGTAGGAGGTCCATCTGTGAGCTGTCCAAACTGTCCTTGTGAGTTTGTTTGGTAACGAGGGGAGTGCTGTCATGCGGTTGTCTCCCCTCATTCTGTCCCTGTCCTTCGTCCTAAGCAGGTAAATGCCGCTTCAAGACGTCCTTGGCGTTGCCGGGCAACGTTTCTGGAAAGTTCACGTCAAACTCCACCACCAGATCTCCTCTCTGCTCGGGGTTTTTGGGTAAGGGGAGGCCCTGTCCAGCCACAGTCTTTCTCAAGCCGGGCTTGACGACGTCTGTGATCTTCATGTTGCACGTCTTGCCGTCTATTGTTGACACGGTAACCGAGCATCCGCACAGCGACTGAAAAGACAGTAATGCAACAGGTGGATCAACAAGAGAATAACCAACCGCACATGATCCACTGCAAACAGCCACATGAAGTCATCCTCGATATCTGACAGTTTGCATCACAATGTATGAATTCACATGTAAAATAATCAAAATGATATTCAATGCAATGAGCTGTGGTCCACTGAGTTATATTCAGCAGCTCTTTCATTTGGACAACAGAGGTAAAATAGAGGTTTTAAAACTTAGCTAGGGCATTATTCTTAAGAGCACTAATGGTGGATGGTGTGGCCCGAGGATTTTTTAAAACTAGTTTACATTAGAAAATATCTTCAACATTTCTTTCTTTGAATCAAACTTTTTACCTTTTCTCTTCTGGATTTTTGTTGATTTCCTCCACTTTATCAGTTTAAATAATTACGTCACAAACACTACGTATTCCCCGTTAAGTTAAACAGAATAAGCCAAATATGTTTATACATGCAAACGTACATAGAAACATGTTGCTCTTCTGCATTTTCTTCTGTCTGTCGACTAATACACCAAAACAATACACCTCGAGCAAGCCAATACTGGCCAATATGTCAGAGCTGTGTGATTTGTCAGCATGATGCAAGGCCGATCTGCTTCTGTTTGTACTCTGCAGCAGTCAAGATATTCAGAGATGAGCGGTGAGATGTATCTCACTGTGTTGAGGACAGTAAGAGGATCCATATAAGTACATCTTGCAGCATGTGTGAGTGTGTGTGTGGGCGGCCACTGCCTCTCTACCCTCCCTGTAATAGAGCTCCTATTTCTCAATGTTGATGAACCAGATTACATAAGTACACATCCAAAGTGTGTGTAGTTCCGTACTATGCTCATAGAGAGCGGCTGAGTGAAGGAAAAACAACTTCTCCAGCAGACTACTTACAGTTTATGGGTTGTGACCAGACTGTTCAGAGCTTTAAAGCAGCTCTCCTGTAAATGTGAGCTCGTTCTGATCAGACTCTATTAATATCACTACACTCAGTCAGTGTGGGTGCCAAAATACAGAGTGCCTCACCTGTCGTAAGCTCACGCGAACAGGATACACAATGTTGGAACCTTCCCGCCTAAAGTGAGGGTGTGGCTTGTCCTTGATGACAAAAACAATGTCGGCAGGAATGGTGTTCGGCGACTCGTCACCCTCCCGTGGGAACGTGATCTTGGTCCCCTCCTTCCAGCCCCGCTTGATCTCGATGGTGAGAATCTTGTCCTCGTTGCGCATGGTCCTGCCGTCTGGATTCAGCCTCTTGCGGGAGATTTTCATCCTCTTGGTGCAGCCATGGAAGACCTCCTCCAGGGAGACTCTCAGCTCGTGGACGATGGCCGGGTCCTGCTTCCGGCGCTGCTGCCCGATGTGGCCGTCCCGGGGGAAGCCGTTCAGGTTGAAGCTGGTGAAGGAGCCAAAGGGGTCGTTCCCATCCACCTCCATGTCCTCGTCGTCTCGCCCATTGGCTTTACGCCCGAAGAACATCTCGAAGGGGTTTGAGCCACCGAAGAAAGTGGCGAAGGTGGCGTGAGGATCCCCGTGGAAGGTGTAGGTGAAGGTGTTGCCTGGTCCATCACCAGTGGGTCCACTTCCTCCCTTAAGACCTGGTGGAAAAAGGAAATGATTCATCAGTCATCCTGACATTTATGCTGTGGGGGAGTTTAATGCCATAAGTGAAGCCTACTTTGACAACAGACTGACTGACTTTATCAGTCATCGAGTGACCAATATGCTTTAAACCCAGTTTATTAGAGCCTTAATGATTAGTCCATTAATTGGACAGATCATCAACAGACATCCAGTCAATCCATTTCATAATTTATATCAAACATTAGATGGTTCTTTGAATTTGTCGTGACTTGAGGTGAATATTTATATATATTTGTGTCATCAACCCTTAGTTGGACAAAACAAGTGTTTTGGGCTTTTTTCATTGTGTTTTGATGGGTCATAAGAATCTCTGAGCAGCCCTACAGTTGACTCATCATTGTTTGATGATGACACATCGGAATCCATATTGGGAGACTGCAATCCTGTTTGATAAAAGAACTTTAATACTGTATTAAGGTGCTTTAAAGGATATTCAGGAACTCTTTGGGTGTCAAAGTCTCAAAATCTCCTGTTTTACTAAAACAAATGGGTTTGTCTAGTGCCAGTGTTAAGGATCTTGTATTGGCTTCAGTGGGCTCAGCTTTTCAAAGAGGCCATCTGTGACACATGTTTGGGCTTCTTCTTGCATACCTGCATGCTTTACTCAGAAAATACACCTTTTTTACCACATACACTTACTACACTTCCTCCTGCTACCTGGTGAAATCATAATATGGCACCTTTAGTTCTGAATACAAGCCTGTTAGTGACGATCTGTGCTCTTTTCTTCTCTTTCTCACCTCAAACATGCTTCCCACCCATCACCGTCTGGACTGGAAATGAAACCTGCGTGCTCAGAAACTACAGTGTAGGTGCCACACACTGTGCAGAAACCTTCATAACACTGATTTTTCCTACTGAAGCAGCCTCGTTTTGAGGAAAAGAAGATGTGGAAATAGTTTCTTCTTTTGAACACAACTGCAGATATTGAATTACAGGAGGATACTTCTTATAAATGCAGAAGATTGTAGGTGTGTGATGTGTTGGAAAACAGTTTTCTGGGCCTGCTGGCTTGAATTAAATCCAGCTGAGCTTCACATGCAACCTTCCAGCTTTGATAACGGTGCATTAACAACCATCACACAGGGGTGGAAGTATAGGATGTGATTCTAAAGCATGCACATTACCTTCCTCTCCATACTGGTCATAAATCTCCCTTTTCTTCGGATCACTCAGGACTTCATAAGCCTCAGCGATCTCCTTGAATTTCTCCTCGGCGGCTGCAGACTTGTTTTTGTCCGGATGCCATTTCAGAGCCTGTTTTCTGTAGGCTTTCTTGATGTCCTCCTCCGTGGCTCCTTTGGAGATGCCCAGTGTTTTGTAGTAGTCTTTACCCATTTCTCACGTATCCCAGAAAAAAAATGAAAACGATAAGCGGGGTCGTCCCTGAGAGAGAAGCCGGTGGAGGGAGTCTGGTCGACGGATGGCTGTGATGTGACAGATCGGCCTCAGTCCGGACTGACGCACGACGAGCGGCCGCAGACAGACGCACGCTGCGGGACGAGGAGCATCTAGAGGCGGGTTAGTCAACGCTGAGGACCCGGTGATGTCTCTCTGGATGACTGGATGAGCCTCTTTAAATAACCTCAGCTCCCACCCTGCATCCTCGCAGCCAAAGTCAAGCGTAATATAACAAGTCTGTGTGTTTCCGGTGAGAGAGAATAAAGCAGCTGCAGGTCATTCACATGGAAAGTTGTGTTTTATTGATTGGAATAAGATTTGAATACAATTTTACAAAACGAGGGTATCATTTCCTGATTTTTCACTTTTAAATTGCAATTATTGGTTTGTCTGTTGAAATAGAAATGTTTGAATTTAATCTAATAACTGCTGTCATGGATTTGTCACATACTAAAGCGTGTAACCACTTTACTTCTCGGGTAATAATACAATTCAGCATTGGATTGGAGTCAGTGGGTCACATGACAGGGGGTTTTATTTATGCTTTTCATGAACTTGACATGACAGGCCTGGTCTTATTTTGAAAAGCTGTTTCCGGTCTTGTTCTATCTGACCCAGTCCAACTCGACACTTTGCTCTGGAATCCAGAGGCAGTTTCTAGAAGGGGGGGGTGTCACTGACTAAACCTGGCTCCTCTGTACATCATCCAGGTGATGGGTGACAACTCACACACACACACACACACACACACACACACACACACACACACACACACACACACACACACAGAGACAGAGAGAGAGAGAAAGGGAAGGGTTGGTATATAGATATAGTAGGAGAAAGATTATAAGTATGTCTGCTACTGGCTCAGCATTAAAATACATTGAACTGCAATAACGCTCTAACTCTGTATAATGAGTTGTGAAGTTGTATTTACA